AGAATCCCATCACCGTGGAATGTTAAAATGTGATATTATGCTCTTACATAGCAAGGATGGGGGAGCAGGAGAACAGGAGTGGACACATCTTGTGTTTGGGGGTTTGGGGTTTTTTTTTTTTTTTTGAGACAGAGTCTCGCTCTGTCACCCAGGCTGGAGTACAGTGGCACGATCTCGGCTCACTGCAAGCTCCGCCGCCCAGGTTCACGCCATTCTCCTGCCTCAGCCTCCTGAGTAGCTGGGACTACAGGTGCCCGCCACCACGCCTGGCTAGTTTTTTGTATTTTTAGTAGAGATGGAGTTTCACCCTTGTTAGCCAGGATGTCTCGATCTCCTAACCTCGTGATTGTCCTGTCTTGGCCTCGGCCTCCCAAAGTGATGGGATTACAGGTGTGAGCCACTGCACCCGGCCCACATCTTGTTTTTGAAATTAAATTAAAATGTTTATAGAATGTTATACTTTTTTTATTACTGTATCATGAGGATTCTCATATTTATTAGAATTTGAATTTTTTAATGACTGCATGAGATTTCATTGTATACTACCCTCTACTGTTGAACATTTCAGTTGTTTTGAGTATATTGATTCTACTCTTGTAAGAGCTGCAATTAACTCAAAGGCTTTTAGGAAAAATTATATATTAAACGTGCATATGGACTGAAAGATGCATCCTAATTTCAGGAACATTTAAAAGCCCAAATGTGAGTCTTGGAATAAAGGAAATACAGTTTGTTATTACATATATACATGCTGTGATGAACATCTGTAAACCTACATGTTAGATTGCATCTCTGTTTACTTAATTGTATTTATAGAAGAGGCAGGTGATGGTCAGGCATGGTGGTTCACGCCTGTAATCCCAGCACTTTGGGAGGCCGAGGCGAGTGGATCATGAGGTCAGGAGATCAAGACCATCCTGGCTAACAAGGTGAAACCCCGTCTCTACTAAAAAATACAAAAAATTAGCCAGGCATGGTGGCGGGCACCTGTAGTCCCAGCTACTCGGGAGGCTGAGGCAGGAGAATGGCGTGAATCCGGGAGGCGGACCTTGCAACTTGCAGTGAGCTGAGATCATGCCACTGCACTCCAGCCTGGAAGGCAGAGCAAGACTGAGTCTCAAAAAAAAAAAAAAAGAGAGAAGGGGCAGGTGATATAGTAGACTTTGCTAGTAAGGTAGCTGAGAGACAAGATACTGGCCCTTCTAGAGGAGATTTTATAGAGAATGGAGATAAGTAACTATAATACTCTGTGATAGATACTATAATTGAGGCGTACAGGATGGGTAGCTAACTTAGGTTTGGAAGAGTCATAGAACATTTTCTGGAAGCAGTGGCCTCTAATCTATCTGAAAGATGAATGAAAGTTGGGAGAAAACTTCATGGACAAAGTCTCAGAGGTGAGAGAGCTTATTTCATTGGAAACACTGAGGTTGAAAATTGCAGGAGGTGGGCCAAGTGCGGTGGCTCACGCCTGTAATCCCAGCACTTTGGGAGGCCGAGGCAGGCAGATCACCTGAGCTCAGGAGTTCCAGACCAGCCTAGCCAACATGGTGAAACCCCGTCTCCACTAAAAATACAAAAATTAGGTGGGCATGTTGGCACATGCCTATAATCCCAGCTACTTGGAAGGCTGAGGCAGGAGAATTGCTTGAACCCAGGAGGCGGAGGTTGCCGTGAGCCAAGATTGCGGCATTGCACTCCAGCCTGAGTGACAAGAGCAAAACTCTGTCTCCAAAAAAAAAAAAAAGAAAGAAAGAAAATTGCAGGAGCTTTAAAGTAGAAAGAGTGATCAGCAGTACTAAATGTAGAAGAGGGTTTGAGTAAGCTAAGGATCAAATAATAGCCACTGGACTTGGCAGTTAGGGATTTCAGTGGCTTCATCAAGAGGATTTTTAGGACTGGGCACGGTGGCTCATGCCTGTAATCCCAGCGCTTTGGGAGGCTGAGGCGGGCAGATCACCTGAGGTCAGGTGTTCAAGACCAGACTGGCCAACATAATGAAACCCTGTCTCTACTAAAAAATGCTAAAATTAGCCGGGTGTGGTGGCACACACCTGTAGCCAGCTACTTGGGAGGCTGAGACAGGAGAATCACTTGAACCCGGGAGGCGGAGGTTTTAGTGAGCTGAGATCATGCCACTGCCCTCCAGCTTGGGTGACAGCCTGAGACTCCATCCCAAAAAAATAAAAGGCGGTGGAGGGTGGGGTTAAGCAACTGGGAACAGACACGCCTGTAATCCCAGCACTTTGGGAGGCTGAGACAGGCAGATCGCCTTGAGCTCAGGAGTTCAAGACTGATCTAGGCAACATGGTAAAACCCTGTCTCTACAAAAAATACAAAAATTAGCTGAGCATTAGTGGCTTGCACATGTAATCCCAGCTACTTGGGAGGCCGAGGTGGGCGGATCACATGAAGGTCAGGAGTTCGAGATCAGCCTGGCCAACATGGTGTGAAACCCCATCTCTACTAAAAATACAAAAATTAGCTGGGTGTGGTGGCGTGCCCCCTTGATCCCAGCTATTCGGGAGGCTGAGGCAGGAGAATCACTTGAACCCAGGACGCAGAGGTTGCAGTGAGCCAAGGTCGCACCACTGCACTCCAGCCTGGGTGACAGAACAAGACTCTATCTCAAACAAACAAAAAAACTTTAAAAAGTGTTTTCAAGGGAAGGAGCTAGTTTGAAATGAACTGAAGATCCAAACGTAAATAAGTAGAAGTCTTACGTATAAATATTTTAAGAATTTTTACATGAGAGGTGTGAAGAAACAGATGTTAACATGACTACAGAGGGCCATGAGGAAGACCAACATGTTTGTCAGCTGAAGAGATTCCACTGAGAGAAAGATTGGTGATACAGCAGAGGAGGTGACTAATGGAGCCGGTTGAAAAGACGAGAATTGGTCAAGGATGCAGGTGGAAGACACAGTTTTGAGCCGTGGCTAATGTATTTTATACTTTGAGATCAGAAGAATGATGAGGATGTTTATGTGCATGCATTGTCTTACATGGAAGGCAGGAAGAAAGAAGCGAGGATACCTGAGGGTAAAGAGTTTGCAGTAGTCTTTGAGGAGAATGGGGAAGAGTTGATAAAAGACAGGTGAAATGATTCATAGGTAGTTGTGAGGGAAATTGGGAACTAGTCTGTGTGGGTACAGGAATAGGGAAATGAGGGGATAGTCTTCATCCAGGGTTTGGGGCTCTAGTGGGCAGGTAAGGAGGGAAGTAGAGAAGTATTACAGAGGAGAGAGTGCTAGAATGGGAGTAGTTTAGGTGGCTTTCCACAGAATTTAGGCTCATAACAGAAAGAAGAGAAAACACAAGGGGTCTTAAGTGAGAGTCAAGGCATGGAAGAGCTAATGTAATGGGAGATGGGGGTCAGTGGCTAAGATGGTGAAGTTCAGGATTTCTCAGGTAGAGGAGTTCTGGATGACCATTTGATTTAGTGTGATGTCCTGGTTGCATCTAAAGCGCAGTGGAGGTAAAGTTGCATATTAGACAACCCCAGAATTTTAAGAAAAAGTTATCTATATAGTCTTTGTTCTTCCCATAGCAGGGAAGAAAACTGAGCCAGGTTCTAAATTCTTGGCTGAATGAAGATGGTAGAGAGAGAGGAGTGATTAGGGATAATCGCTGGGTGGTTGAGTCATATACACTAAGCTGGAGTCTGTAGGTAGCTAGGCTGACCACAAAAGGACCTTTGAATAAGGAAAGCATATATTTTTAAGCCCCTCATATCATCTAGGGCAGGTCTGGGTCTAAGGCACGTGAGTTGAATCATTATTAACTAAAAACAAAGGTATTTGAGCTGGAAGGCAACTCTTACATCTTTGGCCATACCACCTTGAACGCACCTGATCTCATCTGAAAGGTAGTTTCGATACCAGCAGTTCAGTAGCGGAGAAAATTATTATAGAACTAGCAATGATTTTATTAATCATTTAGAAACAGAATGGAGGTTACTATACTAGAACATAGTAATTAGGGGAGAAGTGATATAAGATCAGAGGGAATGAAGCAGAGGTCTGTTTATATTTAGAGTTTTATAGACCATGGAAAAGAGCTCAGGTTTTATTTTAAACTCATTTGTCCTGCGTATTTTGATACTGAGTTTATATTATAAATATTTTCTAAAACAACTGATAAACACAAGCTATCACTTCAGAAACACAATCATGAAATTTTAGAGCAAAAAGGAATCACAGTGGTCTTTGAGCACAACCCTTAAGACTATACAGATGAGTACTCACTCTTCTGAGTTTGAATCTTTTTATTTTTCTTGAGACGGGATATCACTGTCATCTAGGCTGGTATGCAGGAGTGCAGTCATGGCTCACTGCATCCCCAAACTCCTGGGCCCAAATTATCCTCCCACTTCAGCCTTTTTAAATGTTTTGTAGAGACAGAGTCTCACTATGTTGCCTAGGCTGGTCTCGAACTCCTGGCCTCAAGTAATCAGGCCAAAGTGCTAGGATTACAGGTGTAAGCCTTTGCACCCAGCCAAGTTTGATAGAAATCTTTCCTTAAAAAGTTGGAAGCTTCATACATTTCTATTGTTCTTTTAGGACACTAGAATTAAGTAATTCTAAATTATGGGTTTTGAGAATATTCTCCTTTGTATTAAAAAATATTCATAATACTTTGAACAAGTCAAGGCATTACTATTATATGTCTTAAAATAATCAAGGACTAACTCAGTTAATGTTTGACTTATTGTTATGTATGTAAGTATCTAAAGTGTATTGATTCTGTGCCTTTTTGACCTCAGTTTTTAAAAGTTCTGATTGTGATGATGACAGCATGTATCTGGAAAGATACTAAAAACTGTTTGGTTGTGTGTTTTAAATGGGTGCATAGTATGGTATTTTAATTATATTTTAACAAAGCTGCTATATATTTTTTAAATAATTGATGTAAAAATGTGTGTGTCAGTCTTTTGTGTTGAATGGTTGATTCTATTTTAAATATAAGGAACACGTTTTTAAATAATTTGGTTGTTTCAGTCGCTGGGTAAGTCGGAGTGCCACTGCACAGCGCAGGAAAGAACGCCTTCGCCAGCATTCTGATCATGTTGGGCTGGACAACGACTTGAGGGAGGTATGTGATCTACTTTCCTGGGGTGCCTCACAGCAAGTGTCATGAACTAGGCTTATTCCTTCTAGCAGATGTCATTGTGTAGATTCTTAATGTTCTTTAAAAAAAAGAACTGTTTAGTTATAGTTTAAAATATTAATCCTTTTGTATGGGCATATAGCAGAAAACATCCTTTTTTCCATTTTTGTAATTTTAAGACATCTATAATAAGGCTCTAAAACAAGTCTTTCTGTGTATTACATCAAGTAAAGATCAAGTTTAGGATAAATTTTCAGTTACTATGTCTCATATTGGGAGAAAAATTGTCTACATGAGAAGCCTAGACATTTCTAAATTTCAAGCGTAATTGTAATAAGTAGTGTGATGTACTTGCCTATGCTTTGTTCTTGGCTTGCTGGCACCATTTTTTTTTTTCTTGAATCTTTAAATCTACTTTATATTTTTGAAAGTGTTTGAAAACTATTTTTAAATTAAGATCCTTACACTTTATTTGTACTGTTTGAAAATAAGACCATAATTACCCATTTGAATAATTACAAGTAAGTTTTGATTTTTTTCTGTGTGAAATCTGCCACTATATGTATATGCCAGTATACATATATATAGTACCTTGCTGTGTTGCCCAGGCTCAAGCAGTGCTCCTGCCTCAGCCTTCCAAAGTATTGGGATTACGGGTGTGAGCTACCATGCCCAGCCTGATTGTTTTGTTTCTTATGATCAAAAGAGAAATCCAGTCAGAAGACCTGTTAACTGTTTTCTAGAATCAAATTTGTAAAAATAAAGCAGAAAACATAACCCCAAACATCTTTTGTTTTTGTGTTCGTACATGTATGATTTTAAACATTTTATTAAGAACTGAAACATCACCTGTGTAGTGCTTTTTTTTTTTTTTTTTTTTTTTTTGGCTACTGTATTTTCTTCCCTTCCCTCTCTTTTGCTGTGATTTTATCATATGCATGCTTGTTCTGCTTGTTTCTTTCTCCCTATCCTTTTCTTTTTTGCTTTTCTGTCATTGGCACTTCTCCATCCTCTTAGCCTTCCGGGGAACTTTTGGTCTGTCAGAACTCCATGGCATTCTGGGAGTGGGATCAGGGTCCACCTCCTCCTGCACGACTTCCTAAAAAATCCTTCTCTGAGTGCTGCCTGGTATGTTCTTTGCTTAAAAGTGCTTTACCAGATGTTCCCCCAATCTTGTCTTTGGTGTTACTTGAATGTTACACATGTGTGAGTGCACATAGCTCTAGAATGCCTCACATGACCTTGCGATGTGAATTCACACTCCCCATTTTGCTCTCTGTTTCTTGATATGTTTACTTCGTCTTTGTTTTTGTGTGTGCTGATATGAGTAATTCTATGCTGCTGACATGTAAAACTAATCATTCGGGTCTCTAATCAGTGGGATTTTTTTTGTGCTAGATAGCAAATCGCCTTACTTCAAAGGGGGAAATGTATTAAATATACAAACTCCCCTTTATTTAAGCGTTTTCCAGAAGTACAGATGTGATTCAATTTCAAATAGCCTTTCTTTTGCCAGGTTTTATCTCCACAGAATTTTAATTTCACCTTCCTAGTCTGTATTTTATGTGGTCAGAAATTTCAGTCATCAACATAGAATCTCAGTGCCAAGAGCAATCTTTAAGGTCATCTTGTCCAATTTGACATGATTAAATTGAAGTCCAAGAGATTTGCCCAGAGTTAAAAGCACACAAAGACAGAGCTGGGCCTATAGCCCAGGACTCCTGACTTCTAGGCCAATATTCTTTCCATTTACCCTGCATGCCAGCTTTCACTAACTGCTGTTCACTTGAGGCAACAAGTCACTTAGAAATCTTGCTTATATTTTCTGCCCATTATGTCATACTAGCCTAAATCTATTGTACAATGGTCTTCTCTTCACAAGTTGAACACCAGGTAAAGGGCTAGGGTGTTTATTAGAAAATTCTGGGAGAGCCTGTATTAAAGAGCAGTTCGTGCAGTGTTTATTAAATAACAGGATATATTTTCATAGGTAATTCCTAGTGGTTTGTTTCATTTGTTCTTAAGCAGAAATAAAGAAGAACACAGTAGTAATCTCAGAAGAAATCTGGGGTTACTTCTAGACTGTATTATAAAAGCATTTCTTGTGAAAAGTGTCTTTCTGTTCTGTATTTTTCATCTTGAAATATGTTTTTTCCTTCAGATGATATTTTTATCATCACTTGTTTATTTTAAAGGCAGTTGCTCTGTTTTTGCAACTTGCAGAGGCAGCCTCCCTTCTTGCTGTGAAGAGAGGCCTTTTGCCGCCCCCTGTATCCTTTCTGTGCATGTCCATGGAATGTTGCTAGTTCTGTGACTCCAGCAGAGATGCCCAGAAGGAGACTTTGCACATGGCCCTATGGAATCCACTGTTGGCTAATAACTGTACCTGCCCCATATGTACTGGGGGCTCAGTAAGTTGGTCACTCATAGGACAGGCACAATCTAGCTTGTTTTCATTTATGTAAAACAGGACATAAACTTTAAACCATGCTTAATTTTTTGTTTGTTTTTGAGACAGAGTCTCCCTCTGTCACCAGGCTGGAGTGCAGTGGCATGATCTCGGCTCACTGCAACCTCCACCTCCCCATCCTCCTGCCTAGGCCTCTCAAGTAGCTAGGACTACAGGCACGCACCACTACGCCCAGCTAATTTTTTTTTTTTTTTTTTTTTTTTTTTTTTTTTTTTGTATTTTTAGTAGAGACGGGGTTTCACCATGTTGGCCAGAGTTGTCTCGATCTCTTGGCCTCGTGATCCTCCCACCTTGGCCTCCCAAAGTGCTGGGATTATAGGCATGAGCAACCTCAACCAGCTGACAGTGGTTAATTTTTAATCCAATAATTGACTTTAAAAAGTATTCAGGGGACAGGCGCAGTGACTTACACTTTTAATCCCAGCACTTTGGGAGGATGAGGTGGGCGGATCACTTGAGGACAGGAGTTCAAGACCAGCTTGGCCAACATGGTGAAACCCTGTCTCTACTAAAAATACAAAAATTAGCCGGGCGTGGTGGCATGTGCCTGTAGTCCCAGCTACTCAGGAGGCTGAGGCAGGAAAATTGCTTGCACCTTGGAGGCGGAGGCTGCAGCGAGCTGAGATCACGCCACTGCACTCCAGCCTGGGCAACAGACCAAGACTCTGTCTCAAAAAAGCAAAAACCAAACAAAAAAAATATTCGGGCTGGGTGGTGGCTCACACCTATAATCCCAACAGTTTGGGAGGCCGAGGCAGGGAGATCATTTGAGATCGGAAGTTCAAGACCAGCCTGGCCAACATGGTGAAACCCCATCTCTACTAAAAATATAAAAATTAGCCAGGTATTGTAGCGCGTGCCTATAATGCCAGCTACTTGAGAGGCTGAGGCAGGAGAATCGCTTGAACCCAGGAGGCAGAGGTTACAGTGAGCCAAGATTGTACCACTGTACTCCAGCGTGGGCGACAGAGCAAGACTCTGTCTTTAAAAAACAAACAAAAAACAGGCAGGGCATGGTGGCTCATGCCTGTAATCCCAGCACTTTGGGAAGCCGAGGTGGGTGAGTGGATCACTTGAGGTCAGGAATTCGAGACCATCCTGGCCAACATGGTGAAACCCCATCTCTACTAAAAACACAAAAATTAGCTGGGTGTGGTGGCCAGCACCTGTAATCCCAGCTACTTGAGAGGCTGAGGCAAGAGAATTGCTTGAACCCAGGAGGCGGAGTTTGCAGTGAGCCAAGACCGAGCCATTGCCCTCCAGCCTGGGCAACAGAGCGAGACTTCATCTCAAGAAAAAAATAAATAAATAAAACTAACCTTCAGACCATTTCTATAGACCTTGTTACATTTGACTTCTCTGCTGGTAATGGTTGATAGATTTTAAAAATCAAACTCCGGGCACGGTGGCTCACGCCTGTAATCCCAGCACTTCGGGAGGCCAAGGCAGGCAGATCACGAGATCAGGAGTTCAAGACCAGCCTGACCAACATAGTGAAACCCTGTCTTTACTAAAAAATACAAAATTATGGCCGGGCCTGGTGGCTCACGCCTGTAATCCCAGCACTTTGGGAGGCCGAGGTGGGTGGATCACAAGGTCAGGAGTTTGAGATCAGCCTGACCAACATGGTGAAACCCTGTCTCTACTGAAAATATAAAAATTAGCCAGGCATGGTGATGTGCATCTATAGTCCCAGCTACTCAGGAGACTAAGGCAGGAGAATCACTTGAACCTGGGAGGTGGAGGTTGCAGTAAGCCGAGATCACGCCATTGCACTCCAGCCTGGGTGACAGAGCAAGACTCCGTCTCAAAAAAAAAAAAAAAAAATTAGCCGAGCATGGTGGAACGTGCCTGTAATCCCAGATACTCAAGAGGCTGAGGCAGGAGAATTACTTGTACCTGGGAGGCAGAGGTAGTAGTTAGCTGAGATCACGCCACTGCACTTCAGCCTGGGCGACAGAGCGAGGTTCCATCCCAAAAAATAAAATTAAAATAAACTCTGCAGTTCCCATAACATTTATTTATACTTCTTTCTGCTGCAAACATTTTTTTCTGAGATGGAGTCTTACTCTTGTCACCTAGGCTGGAGTGCGATGGCACGATCTTGGCTCACTGCAACCTCTGCCTCCCAGGATCAAGCAGTTCTCCTGCCTTAGCCTCCCAAGTAGCTGGGATTACAGGCGCCTGTCACGTTTTTGTATTTTTAGTAGAGACGGGGTTTCACCATGTTGGCCAGGCTGGTCTCGAACTCCTGACCTTGTGATCCGCCCATCTCGGCCTCCCAAAGTGCTGGGATTACAGGTGTGAGCCACCACGCCTGGCGTCTGCTTCAAACATTTTTAAGAGGGTCAAAGAAATAAGGGAAAATTGAGAATTAGAGACAACTGTAAAAGTGATTGGACTGGAAAAAAAACATTATTTTGTTAATTTTGCCTTTCATCACAAGGATTGGGAGGTAGCAGGTAAACTGATTAGTTGAATCCCTAATCAGTGGGATTTTTTTTATTTGTACCAGACTTAGCAGATTAGTTTTCTTCCAAATGAGAAATATATTCAATGTACAAACTCTCTTTTTTAAAGAATGCAAAGGATTTTACGCATCTTCTTTTATCATACCAAGCTCTCCTCTGAAGATAGTAAGGACAGATTTCACATATGTGCCTGTGGGAGGATGTGCTGGCTTGCCGTCTCAGTCTCCCTGCTGCCCCCCAACTACCAGCCAATAAACTGCTGCTTTTACTATATATTGTAGAGCAGTTATTTTCTAAATATGGTCCTAAGACACTTGGAATTTTTGGAAAATTCTGCCCTGTGATCCTGATGTAAACACAAGGTATCCAGATGGGTTTTTTGTTTATTTGTTCGTTTGTTTTGGTTTTTTGGTTTTTTGTTTTGTTTTGTTTTTTTGAAATGGAGTCTCGCTCAGTTGCCCAGGCTGGAGTGCAGTGACGCCATCTGCACTCACTGCAGTCTCCACCTCCTGGGTTTCAGTGATTCTTCTTCCTCAGCCTCCCGAGTAGGTGGATTACAGGCATCCACCACCACACCTGGCTAATTTTTGTATTTTTAGTAGAGACGGGGTTTCACCATGTTGACCAGGCTGGTCTCGCACTCCTGACCTCTGGTGATCCACCCATCTCGGCCTCCCAAAGTGCTAGGATTACAGACGGGAGCCACCGCCCAGCCCCTGGATGAACCTTTATAGACAGCATAGAAAGGAGAGAGAGAGCACATGTCTTGCACTAATCATATGTAGTGATTTTCTTTTTAATAGAAATTCACTAACCAAAGCTCAAGAGCATTTGGTTAAGTTTCTGTGATACCTTAGAGTTACCAAAAACCCCAAAAGTAACACTGTAATTCACTTTCTCTTGATTATAGAACAAGGCAAGGTAGGGCTTTAGCAAAAACATCACAGAAAGAGGCCACCATCGTGCTTTTCAGAGTGATCCTATAGCCTTTTGGGAAGGTAGGGGGGCATGTTTTATGCCCATTTAACAAGCTGAGGTGCACAAACATTAGTTGATATGCCTGAGTCATAAAATTAGTTACAACCAGATTCTGAAGTTCCTGATTTTACTGTTGTGACTTGATTATAGAGCAAAGGGTTAGATTGGAGAGCACTGCCCAAGAGGCTAGAGGTATGTTAAGTCTTGCTGTATGGGGAAAGGAGTGGAGGAAATCGGTGATCTGAGAACCACTGGGCTCCTGCAAAACCTTGGATTTGTAATCTAAACACCTAAATTTTTTTGTCCCAACCACAATCCTGACTAATCACAACCTTTTGTATTCCCAGTGAAAAGACTAAACAAAATGAAATGTCATCTCACTTTGAATAAGTTTCAATGTGATGGGGTTTCTGTCACTTCTCACAGGAGTTAACAGTTGTTGTGGGGTGGCATATGAGTGTCCTCTGTCTTTTGGTGCACTAAAACATTAATTGTTGTTATGCGCATACACTTACAGACTTTTTTGCATTTCATTTGTCTCTGCACTTGTTTGTATAAGGTTAAGAAGATTAGAAGGATAGCTAATGTTTATGCATTAAAAATACTCCTTAATTTTTAGAAATATATGCAAGAGGCACGAAGTTTAGGAAAAAACCTGAGGCAACCCAAACTGTCAGACCTCTCTCCTGCAGTGATTGCACAGACCAACTGTAAATTCGTAGAAGGCTTATTAAAAGAATGTAGAATGAAGGTATGTATTATTCACTGATGCCAGACAGTGTGCATTCATGTTTACACCATGTGTGAGGCTAAGATGAACTGAGTTAACCCCCATTTAAGCATGTAATTTTGCTAGAAGAAAACTCTTATTGTGGCATTGACCTCATGTACTCTTTACTGGGGTATTGAACCTCCATGGGTTCTTCATTGCCCACAGAATCAATGACATGAGAGCCTTGTATCATTTTTCTCACTTTTTCAGACATTGCTGTCCTCCTCACCAACATGAACGGATGTCTTAAGCCACTCATAATTTGCGTCAGGAATGTTGTCATCTTATGTGAAAGGCAGCACTTGTGTCTGTGTATGCACCTGTGTACAGCCTTATTTGTGCCTATACATGGTTTTTGTCCCCATAAGGAAAAATACCTTGGCTGTGTTGTAGGTTTGTGTATATTGCACAACATTCTTCTCTCAGAAACTTGTGTTTTTTGGAGGTAGCAGTACAAATTGACAAAACTTAAAACATCATTTTAGCTAATAATTTTATTTATTTGACAGTCATTTCTTGAGTACCTTCTCTGCATATTCAATAAATGCATTATTTTCAGCATCAGAATATAGTGGTGAATTAAAGTTCTTGCCTAAAAGAGCTAGATTCTCTCTCATTTTACATTTTATAAAAGCTACTAAGACTGATGCAAATTAACTTACATGAAACTGATTTCCATTTTCTTTGCATTTTTTGGTGTATGCTTGATGAACAAAGAAAAGATAAAAAAGGAAAAGAGAAGGAAAGTCCTGGTTCATTCACAAATTAGAGTTCTCAAAAAATTTAGAGCTGCCCATTTGTATTCTGGTTTTTACTTAAGTGCAATCAAACTAAGTGCAAGAATCTTTAGTATGCTAAGATGCTGGGGCAGTGATAGGGCAAGTTGTGGTGGCAGGATGGGGTTCCATATTCTGACGGTACATTTTCTTTTTTTATTGTATTTTGTTTTTTGAGACAGAGTCTCACTCTATCACCCAGCAGGCTGGCACAGTAGCGCAATCTCAGCTCACTGCAACCTCTACCTCTTGGGTTCAAGCGATTCTTCTGCCTCAGTCTCCCAAATAACTGGGATTACAGGAGTGTGGCACTACTACCCGGCTAATTTTTGTATTTTTAGTAGAGACAGGGTTTCACCATGTTGGCCAGGCTGGTCTCGAACTCCTGACCTCAGGTGATCCACTTGCCTCGACCTCCCAAAGTGCTGGGATTACAGGTGTGAGCGCCATACCCAACCCTGACAGTACATTTTCTAGGTCTGCTGTAATTCCCCAATATCACAGAAGTTAATAATTTGACAATTGTTGTACATAAGCATCTTTTCAACATGGGGATGCTTACAAATATTATCTTATTTTCTCTTTAGTTACACTACATTTTTCTGACAAAATAGTAACATATAAATTATATTACTCCAATTAGTTGACCACCAAGATTAAGAGATTTTTTCCCAAGGTGATTACAAATCTGCAAACAGAGTATAATGAAGGGAAACCAAGTCTCCTACTTCAGTAATTGACTTGTTGGTTTTTGGTTTCACTACTGGGGTGCCTTATGACTACACATGATATTCTTAGACAAAGCGCATGTTGGTGGAGAAGATGGGACACGAAGCAGTGGAACTTGGCCATGGAGAAGCAAACATCACCGGCCTGGAGGAGAACACCTTGATCGCCAGCCTCTGTGACCTGCTGGAGAGGATATGGAGCCATGGCTTGCAGGTCAAGCAGGTAACAGTTTTAGGAGGTCCTGGTGACATGGCCAGTTAAGAGCCCTGTGAAGAAATGTAACAAGGAGAAAAATACGTCATTAAAAAACAAATAGGCTCTTTTGTCACAAGGGGACTAGAAAAATGCCACAGACATTTTAATTTCAGAACAAGAAAATATAACCCATGAGCAGGAGGTGGTTTGGGGATCTTTCCTGCTAAGCAGGAAAGGATGAAATAGCACATCATTGCAGAGGCTGTATCCCTAGTAAGTTCCATTAAATGTTTGCCTTTGTCACTGTCCAGAATTAATAGTTCCTTGCCATTTTAAGTTAGATCTAATAATTCAGGGTGAAAAAATTCAAATGGTCTCTTTGCTTTCGTCTCTCTAGTCTCCCTTTCTGATTTTTTTCTGATGTGTGCGTGTTTCTTTCTTCTTCCCTTTTTCTCTTTCTCCTCTCACCTCTATTTTTTTGTTTTATTGCCACTCCATATATCCAAACATATTTTACATATAGATGTACACAAGTACATTCTGTGCTGCTAGAGCATTTTAATCCCATGGTTACTAATGTACCCAGTGTAGACAGCCCTAATTATATACAACTAAGTAACAACCTAGCAGACATCAGAAATCTTCTGCCTGCCATGCTGGCCCTTTGCTTAGCTGCTTCCTTTCCCCAGGCTCTTGCCAGTCTTCTCAGTGAGGCAAAGGATGACCTTTATGATACATGCAGAAGATGCTCAGAATGTCATACAGCTAGGAATGAATAAGCTTGGGTCACCAAACTTCTAAATGGCTATTGGAATATGGATGAGAAATTATTTTATGATGAATTACTTCTTATGAAATTTTTACACACCTTGTACTTTCAGGGGAAGTCGGCTTTGTGGTCACATTTAATTCAATTTCAGGACAGAGAAGAGAAACAAGAGCACCTTGCAGAATCACCAGGTATGACATCATTGGTAAAGAACTAGCAGCATCGGACTCTGAGAAGACTCAATACTATATGGCCTTGTCTTGATCTCTTTCTCTCTCAAGCTAAAATTTACTCATTTTGCCAATAATGGGATAAAGTAGAAGGAGCAGTATTACTGACTAACTGTGAGACCTGGAAAAAGTTATTTGCCCTTTCTGAAGTCCTGCTTCATCATCTATAAAATAGGGAAAATGAGATTACCTAGGCTGGAATGGTCATGCTGATCAAGCAAGGTATCATGTGAAAACCCCCAATGAATTGTAAATGGCCATGCAAGGATACATTACTCTCAGTAGCATCAGAATATTTTTTTTCTTAAAAGTTTTATGCCAGGCACGGTGGCTCACACCTGTAATCCCACCACTTTGAGAGGCCAAGATGGGCAGATCACCTGAGGTTGGGTGTTCGAGACCAGCCTGGCCAACATGGTGAAACCCCATCTCTATTAAAATACAAAAATTAGCTGGGCGTGGTGGTGGGTGCCTGTAGTCCCAGCTACTCGGAAGGCTGAGGCAGGAGGATCGCTTGAACCCAGGAGGCAAAGGTTGCAGTGAGCCGAGAAGGTGCCACTGCACTGCAGCCTGGGCAACAGAGCAAGACTCCATCTCAAAAAAAAAAAGTTTTATAACCATCATTAGTGATCTTTCAGGGAAAAAATATGTACATATGTCTCAAAAAATTTCAGGAGTTGAATCTCTTCTTCAATTTATAGAAAATATGTTAGAAGTGTCATAATTTTTTAGCTAATTAGAATTATGTAGGGTTTCTAAAGCTAAGTGTTCTTACTTACTGTGTATTTTTCACAACAACACATGCTTTTCTTTATATAAAATAACCATCTATTTCACAAAAAAGTAGAAGTAACTGTGGTAAGCTAATGGAGATAAAATGCTTTATACTGAATCGGCCATTTTGGAACCTTTTCATAAAGTATGGATTACTTTGGATTTTCAGAAGTTTTAGATGGAGTCTCCTCTTGTCACCCAGGTTGGAGTACAGTGGTGTGATCTCAGCGCACTGAAACCTCTGCCTCCCAAGTTCAAGCAATTCTCCTGCCTCAGTCTACCAAGTACCTGGGATTATAGGTGCCCACCACCACACCTGGCTAATTTTTGTATTTTTAGTAAGGACGGGGTTTCGCCATGTTGGCCAGGCTGGTCTCAAACTTCTGATCTCAAGTGATCAGCCCTACTCAGCTTCCCAAAGTGCTGGGATTACACGCATGAGCCACCTCGCCCAGGTGGTGGCGGATGCCTATAGTCCCAGCTTCTCGGGAGGTTGAGGCAGGAGAATCGCTTGAACCCGGGAGGGCGGAGGTTGCAGTGAGCTGAGATCATGCCACTGCACTCCAGCCTAGGTGACAGAGCTAGACTCTATCTCAAGACAACAACAACAACAAAAAGTCATAAGCCTAACACAGTTTAAGAAAGAGTGCAGGGGCCGAGCATGGTGGTTTATGCCTGTAATCCCAGTACTTGGGAGGCCGAGGTTGGCAGATCATGAGGTCAGGAGTTCGAGACCAGCCTGACCAACATGGTGAAACCCCATCTCTACTAAAAATACAAAAATTAGCTGGGCGTGGTGGTGTGTGCCTGTAATTCCAGCTACTCGGGAGGCTGAGGCAGGAGAATCACTTGAACCTGGGAGGCGGAGGTTGCAGTGAGCCAAGATCGTGCCACTGCACTCCAGCCTGGGGGAAAAAGGGGACCCCCCCTCAAAAAAAAAAAAAAAAAAAGGGTGCATTGACCAAGTGCAGTGGCTCACACCTACCATCCCAGCACTTTAGGATGTCAAGGCGGGCAGATCACAAGATCAGGAGTTCAAGACCAGCCTGGCTAACGTGGTGACACCCCATCTCTACTAAAAATACAAAAGTTAGCCAGGCGTGGTGGCGGGCGCCTGTAATCCCAGCTACTCGGGTGGCTGAGGCAGGAGAATCGCTTAAACCTGGGAGGCGGAGGTTGCAGTGAGCTGAGATTGTGCTGTTGCACTCCAGCCTGGGCAACAAGAGCAAGACTCCATCTCAGGAAAAAAAAAAAAAAAAAAGAGTGCTTTACAAATATGATTTAAACCAAACCTTTTTTTTTTTTTTGAAATGGAATTTTGCTCCTGTCACCCAGGCTGGAGTACAGTGGCACAATCTCGGCTCACTGCAACCTCTGCCTCCTGGGCTCAAGCCATTCTCCTGCCTCAGCCTCCTGAGTAGCTGGGATTACAGACGTGCACCACTGTGCCCAGCTAATTTTGTATTTTTAGTAGAGACAGGGTTTCTCCATGTTGGTCAGGCTGGTCTCGAACTTCTGACCTCAAGTGATCCATCTGCCTTGGCATCCCAACGTGCTGGGATAACAGGTGTGAGCCACCATGCCTGGTCTTAAAGACCCGTTTTGTTTGTTTGGTTGGTTGGTTGGTTGGTTGGTTGGTTGGTTGGTTTTTTGAGACGGAATCTCTCTCTGTCGCCCAGGCTGGAGTGCAGTGGCGCAATCTCAGCTCTCTGCAAACTCTGCCTGCTAGGTTTACACCCGTCTCCTGCCTCAGCCTTCTGAGTAGCTGGGACTACAGGCCCCTGCCACCTCACCCAGCTAATTTTTTATATTTTTAGTAGAGACGGGGTTTCACCGTGTTAGCCAGGATGGTCTCGATCTCCTGCCCTCGTGATCCACCTGCCTCGGCCTCCCACAGTGTTGGGATTACAGGCGTGAGCCACTGCGCCCAGCCTGAAGACCCTTTTGTTCACCCTAATTTCTTTTCCCTCACTGCCCCTAGAGGGCAACACTACCCTAAATGTAGTATTTATTGTTAGAAACCTAGTGTTTAAATGTATTTAATCAGACAGCTAGGAATATGAGTTGACTACATTGCCCTGGAGCTCCTGCAATCAGAATGCCAAGGTTCTGCTGTCTCTGACTGTAACTATATTTATAAAGATTCAGATCAAATTTAAAAGCATTCTCTAGTGTCCATCTCCTCTGCCACTTTTTCTGTTAAAAAACAAAAATGAGGTCAGGCGTGGTGACTCAATGCCTGTAATCCCAGCACTTGAACCTGGGAGGCAGAGGTTGCAGTGAGCCAAGATCACGCCACTGCATTCCAGCCTGGGCAACAGAGTGAGACTCCGTCTCAAAATATATATACATATATATATATGAATATAAAATATGTATTAAAACATCAGTTTAAATTGAAATCTCTCATTCTTAAGGAATAAGTTGCAGTTATGCAAAAATTAACGGTTTTTAAAATCTGAATTTTTTTCTACCAAGTACTTTTTTTTGCCAATTATTAAGCTTCCTAATTAATGGCAATAAACAGTCTGCATTGTCATATTTAGGAAAGATCCTTGAAGATTTATGATGGGCCGGGCACGGTGGTTCATGCCTGTGATCCCAGCACTTTGGGAGGCCGAGGTGGATGGGTCACTGGAGATGAAGAGTTGGAGACCAGCCGGGCCAACGTGGTGAAACCCCCTCTCTACTAAAAATACAAAAATTAGCCAGGCATGGTGGCAGGTATCTGTAATCCCAGCTACTCAGGAGGGTGAGGCAGGTGAATCGCTTGAACCTGGAAGATGGAGGTTGCAGTGAGCCAAGACTGCTCCCCTGTACTCCAGCCTGGGCGATGGAGTGAGACTCCATGTCAAAAAAAAAAAAGATTTATGATGGGTTTGAAGATTATTCTTACTAGCATTGAATCATGATGAGACTAGATGCTGGATTATTATCGTGAGTCTTCAGAAGCAGCACTAAACAGGAGTCAGAGACATTTTAAGGGTTGTAGAGGAATGGAAAGATAGCAAGAGGACCATAGTGGGTAGGCAGTATTAATTTTGACCTAGTGATCACTGCACCTAGTAGTTTGACATCCTATTTTAGAGAAAGAATTTCAGAATACAATTGGTCCTAGAACAAAGAGTGTTCTTAACACATCACTCAGAAGTTTTAACCTTTAAATTTGTTGAGAGGACTGGGTGTGGTGGCTCACGCCTGTAATTCCAGCACTGTGGGAGCTTAAGGAGGGCAAATTACTTGAGGCCGGGAGTTCGACAACAGCTTGGCCAACATGATGAAACCCTGTCTCTACTAAAAATATAAAAGTAAGCAGGGTATGGTGGTACACACCTGTAATCCCAACTACTCGGGAGACTGAGGCATGAGTATCTCTTGAACCCAGGAGGCAGAGGTTGCAGTGAGCCAAGATCATGCCATTGCACTCCAACTTGGGCAACAGAGCAAGATGCTGTCTCAAAAAAAGAAAAAGTGTTGAGGCTGGGTATGGTGACCCAGTCCTGTAATCCCAGCACTTTGGGAGGCCGAAGTGGAAGGATCACTTGAGCCCAAGAGTTTGAGACCAGCCGAGGTAACATAGTGAGACCCTGTCTGCAAAAAAAAAAAAAAATGTTTTTTGTCTTAATTAGCCAGGTATAGTGACACACGTGTGGTCCCAGATGCTTGGGAGGCTGAGGTGGGAGGATCGCTTGAGCCCACGGGGTTGAGGCTACAGTGAGTACTGTGATCCCACCACTGCACTCCAGCTTGGGTGACAGAGCAAGACCCTGTCTCCAAAAAATAGTAACAATAAAGAAAAATGTTGAGCCAGTTCTTAAACTTTGCACCTTCAGACAAGGTTCTACTAGTAACTGGAAATGGATTTTGACAGGGCGTAGGTGTAGAACCCTTCCACTGAAGAGAATGGAAATGCTGCCTTTTTTCCTTTTTTTTTTTTTTTTTTTTTTTTTGAGATGGAGTTTTGCTCTTGTTGCCTGGGCTGGAGTGCAATGGCGTAGTCTTGGCTCAGTGCAACCTCCACTTCCTGGGTTCAAGCGATTCTCCTGCCTCAGCCTCCTGAATAGCTGGGATTACAGGCGTGTGCCACTACACCTGGCGAATTTTTGTATTTTTAGTAGAAATGGGGTTCACCATGTTGGCCAGGCTGGTCTTGAACTCCTGACCTCAGGTGATCCACCCACCTCAGCCTCCCAAAGTGCTGGGATTACAGGTGTAAGCCACCGCACCTGGCCAGAAATGCTGCTTTTAAGTGTTTTTTCTGGATCTAACCCAGGAATTTTGAGTCACTCTTCATCTTACCTTCATCGGAAATTTTCTATTAATTACTTACCTACCTATAGACTGTACATGGTTCTGTAGAAATATACAATCTCTGCCCTCAAAAACTGCTGTCTGTGCTACATTTATAAAATTTACCACTCCAAATAGAAAGTAAACAAAATGTTTAACTTGTGTTCATTTTTTTTTTTTTTTTTTTGAGACGGAGTTTCGCTCTTGTTGCCCAGACTGGATGCAATGGCATGATCTCGGCTCACTGCAACCTACACCTCCCACGTTCAAGCGATTCTGCTGCCTCAGCCTCTCAAGTAGCTGGGATTACAGGCATGCGCCACCACATCTGGCTAATTTTGTAGTTTGATTCAGGCAGATGAGCAAATTCTTGTAGCCAAGAATTAAATCCATGAATCTTTATTTTGAAGGAGAAAGTGGCCTATTGTTTGAGTATTTTCAATTAAGAAATAGTAATGGAAGTATACATTTAAATAGTTTATAAAATTCTCTTCTAGCTGGAGTAGGCTTCATGGAAATCTTAGATTTTAGGTCTCTAGATAAAAGAAGTGGTTCCATTTCCAAACCCCTAATCTGCCCTTTGCTCACAGGCTTTTAAACTCTTCTCTCCAGAGTCACTAATAAATTACCACATTCATTTCCTAGGGTCACCATAATACAGTACCACAAACTGAGTAGTTTAAACAACAGGGATTGCCAAGCACACTGGCTCACACATGTAATTCCAGCACTTTAGGGGGCCAATATTGGAGGATTCCTTGAGCCAGGTGTTTGAGACCGGCCTGAGCAACACAGTGAGACCCCCATCTCTTATTATTTAAAACGAAGTTTCTCACTTGCTGTCTAGTTTGAGAGGCATGATTGCTTCTGGTTGTCATGTTTCCTTCTAGCCGACTTGTTAATTATGGTTTCAAATCCCCTTTTTTCCTCTGTCAATCTATTTCTTACCGCCTGTGTGGCCATCTTTCATTTTGTCTAATCATCTGGAGTACAGAGGCATTCTCTGAGCCATCTCACTTTGTCCTCAAAAAGAAAGATGTGGCCGGGTGTGATGGCTCATGCCTGTAATCCCAGCACTTTGGGAGGCCGAGGCAGGCAGATTGCTTGAGTCCAAGAGTTTGAGTCCAGCCTGGGCAACATAAACATAGAAACAAAACCCTGTCTCTACAAAAAATACAAAAATTAGCCAGGTGTGGTGGCACGCACCTGTAATCCCAGCCATCAAGAGGCTGAGGTTGGAGGATCACTGAGCCCGGAGATGGAGGCTGCAGTGAGGCAAGATCATGCTGCTGCACTCCAACCTGGGCTACAGAGTGAGACTCTATCTGGAAAAAAAAAAAAAAAAAAAAAAAGCTAATTGAAAAAAAGACATATATATATATTTAGTTTCCCATTGTCCAAACCCATATAATTATTTGCAAAACCGGGGTCTTTCTATGTAGTCCAGGCTGGTCTCCCTATGTTTCCCAGGCTGGTCTTGAAGTCGTGGGCTCAAGTAATCCTCCTGCCTTGGCCTCTCAAAGTGTTGGGATTCCAGGACTGAACACACAGGATTTTTTTTCACTCTTCAAGAGTTTAATTGTGTGACTTCAATTCATGAGCCCAGAGATGTTTCACATTTTTAGTAGCTTAGTTTATATACATTGCTTTCATGTAATTATCTAGAGCTATTAGAATGAGTAACTAGAAAGTAACTGGCCAGGCATGGTGGCTAACACCTGTATCCCCAGCACTTTGGGAGACCAAGGCAGGCGGATCACTTGAGTTCAGGAGTTCAAGACCAGCTGGTCAACATGGTGAAACCCGGTCTCTACTAAAAAATACAAAAATTAGCTGGGCGTGGTGGCGCACGCCTGTAGTCCCAGCTGCTGGGGAGGCTGAGGCATGAGAATTGCTTGAACCAAGGAGGCAGAGGTTGCAGTGAGCAAAGATCACACCACCGCACTTCAGCCTGGGCAACAGCAAGACTATGTTAAAAAAAAAAAAAAAAAAGTGCCTGGTCCTTATGGCCAGAATTTGTATGCATTGGCATCGTTTGCTAGGTGGTCTTTTGTGATTCGTTTAAAATTTCCAAAAGCAGTTCCAGATTACATAGAAAGAAAATAGCTGGGTCTGGGCACAGTGGCTCACGTCTGTAATTCCAGCACTTTGGGAGGCTGAGACAGGCGGATCACCTCAGATTGGGAGTTTGAGACCAGCCTGACCAACATGGAGAAACCCTGTCTGTCCTAAAAATACAAAAAATTAGCCAGGTATGATAGTGCATGCCTATAATCCCAGCTACTCGAGAGACTGAGACGGGAGAATCACTTGGACACAGGAGGTGGAGGTTGCGGTGAGCTGAGATCGCACCATTGCAGTCCAGCCTAGGCAACAAGAGCAAAACTCCATCTCAAAAAAAAGAAAAGAAAAGAAAAGAAAGTAGCTGATTTACTGTGTTAATAAAATAGCCCAGACATAGGAAGACCCCGTCTCTACAAAAAATTTTTAAAATGAGCCATGTGTGGTGGTGCACACCTGTAATCCCAGGTACTCTGGACAAGGCTACGTTGGGAGGATTGCTGGAGCCCAGGAGGTCAAGGCTGCAGTGAGCCACAATCACACCACTGCACACTGCACTCCAAGCTCAGTGACAGAGCAAGACCCTATTTTCTTTAAAATTTGTTCTTTGACATTTTGGGCTAGATGATATAAATTGTTAAAATTTTTTCTTATCAAAGTAGTTTCAAAGTATTTAATATGAACCATGTATATTTTTGTATTACTTTTCTAATATTTTGCTGGTATTTTTCTACATAGTTGCCCTCGGACCAGAAAGAAGAAAATCTGAGTCAGGAGTTATGTTGCCAACACTCAGGGTCTCTCTTATCCAGGACATGAGGTATTTGTTATTAATACATGTGTTAGCATGTGGTGATAACTTTTTGAAGTATTTTGTGGCTTTTAACTAAATTGCTCAAATAATTATGGCTATGTGTATTTTTGGCTTATGTAATTCTGAATAAAGTATTTTTATGGTTTCATTTACTTTGTTTTTATACCATTGTATTGTTTCCTGACATTAAATTCAAATGGAAGATGCAGCTGAGAAGAGTTTTAAAGCATCTCTAAACTTTTTTATTTTATTTTACTTTAGCGACAGGGTCTTGCTTTGTCACCCAGGCTGGAGTTCGGTGGTGAAATCGCCACTCTCTGCAGCCTCAACTTCCCAGGCTCAAGCAATCCTTCTGCCTCAGCCTCCCAAGTCGCTGGAATTACAGGCACCTGCCACCACGCCTAGCTAATTTTTTTGATTTTCACTAGAGACAGGGGTTTTTTTGTTTGTTTGTTTGTTTTTTGTTTTTTGTTTTTTGAGATGGAGTCTCACTCTGTTGCCCAGGCTGGAGTGCAGTGTCACGATCTCACTGCAACCTCCGCCTCCCAGGTTCAAGTAATTCTCCTCCCTCAGTCTCCTGAGTAGCTGAGACTACAGGCATGTGCCACCATTCCTGGCAAATTTTTTGTGTTTTTAGTAGAGACAGGGTTTTACCATGTTAACCAGGATGATCTCGATCTGACCTCGTGATCCACCCGCCTGGGGCCTCCTCAAGTGCTGGGATTACAGGCGTGAGCCACCGGACCCGGCCAAGATGGGATCTAATATTGCCCAGGCTGGCCTTGAACTCCTGGGCTCAAGTGATTCTCCCGCCTCGGCCTCCCAAAGGGCTGGGATTACAGACATGAGCCATTGTGCCCATCCTAAACTATTTTATAGCTTCTTTTGTTCAGTTTTTAAAACTCCCTTAAATACCTGCTGCCCACCGATACAGAAGAAAAAATCTGCAAATAATGGCAGGATATGTGGCAGAACAATTGCAATCAGGTAGACTTAGTTTGAAGCAAATACAGATCTGAGAATCATCACTTGCAATTACTGTTAAGAAATCGTTAGAAGACATCAAGATACCTAACACAGATTTATTGAATGAGGAAGGCAGAGGCTTTTATCTTTTAAATATTTTAGGTACAATACTTAGTCAACCTTTACAATGTGTGGGTTTAAAGCAGTATCATAAGATCTGAGTGCAGTGGGTCATGCACTTTGGGAGGCTGAGGGAAGAGGATCACTTGAGACTGAGAGATTGAGACCATCCTGGGCAACACAGCGAGACCCTATATTTTTAAATAATTAGCCAATTAAAGATTATCAATGCAGTCTGGCTTATTTTCTCTAATGCCATAGAACATAAGATTTCATATTTTCCATATGTTGTCCAGTGCAACTTGAAAAGTAATTCAGTGGATTAAAGTTGTGGCTGATATTTAATTATGGTATAGAACAGTTACTTTGAAAAGCAACTTAAGTATTCACCCTGTTTCATTACTTTTTTTTGAGAATCAGAAATATTTATTTACAGGTATCTATGACTCTTCAGCAAGGACATAATGAAGCCTGAAAGAGTGAATGAGTGTTAAATGCTTTATCTTATGACATTGTCTGTGTGCTTGTGTTGTAATGGCAATTATGATGTGAGACTAACTTCATGATTCAGATGGAACCTTCAAAGATTTAATCAACATCAATTGTATATTATCGACTGCTCCCTTTAAGTATAAAATAACCTTTCTGTGCCCAGTACTGTTCACTCTTCTTTTCTAGTCAGCGTTATCCTTAAGATCTACATCTTTGCTGTTGCCACTATTCTTTAGGCATATTCAAAACATGAGTGAGATCAAGACTGATGTTGGACGAGCTCGGGCATGGATAAGACTGTCTCTAGAAAAGAAGCTCTTGTCCCAGCATCTTAAGCAGTTGCTTTCTAACCAACCACTCACCAAGTAAGATACCATCTTTGATACATTTCTGTTTCTATACCCTTGTGCATACAAAGCATGTTGCGTAAACTGACAGACTGCCTTCTTCAGTATGAAGTGCTGTTTCCTGTGCATGTGCATTCTTCTTTATCTAACAGGCATGTGCTTTGAGAACTCTGTCTTGATGTAATACTTGATCGTTTCAGGGAGGACACACCAAGCATAACAACCAAAGGCCAGATTGCAGTTGGGTGTGGTGGCTGTTGCCTGTAATCCTAACATTTTAGGAGGCCAAGGTGGGCGGATCACTTGAGTCCAGGAATTCAAGACCAGCTTGGGTAACATGGTGAAACCCCATCTCTACAAAAAATACAAAAATTTGCAGGGCATGGTGGCGCACACTTGTAGTCATGGCTATTCAGGAGGCTGAGGCAGGAGAATCACTTGAACTTGGGAGGTGGAGGTTGCAGTGAGCCGAGATCGCGTCACTGTGCTCCAGTCTGGGCGACAGTGCGTGACTGTCTCAAAAAAAGAAAAAGAAAAAGCCCTGCCAGAATCAGGCAGAAAGCTAGCTAGTTCATACAAGCTGACAGTAACATCCAAAAGATAGGTTAAATTTATATAAACCTTATGTTATATTGTAAAATACACAGATAAAACCTGGAGTAATAAAAGAAAAAAATAATACAGTTCTGTGATGAGGTCCCAGTAAAGGGCTTCTTCTGAGAGCCTTGAATTCAGCAGTTTAGAGCAAGGGTTCCCAGCCCTTGGGCCATGGACCAGTACTGGTCCATGGCCTGTTAGGAACCAGGGCTGCACAGCAGGAGATGAGCCTAGGGCAAGCAAGCATTACCGCCTAAGCTCCACCTCCTGTCAGATCAGCAGCATTAGATTCTCAGAGGAGCACAAACCCTATTGCGAACTGCGCATGTGAGGGATCTAGGTTGCCTGCTCCTTATGAGACTCTAATGACTGATGATCTGAGGTGCAACAATTTTATTCTGAATCCACCTCCCCCTCCCCGGCCCCTGCGACAGCCATGGGAAAATTATCTTCCGCGAAACCGGTCCCTGGTGCCAAAAAGGTTGGGGACCACTGGTTTAGAGCCAGGAAACCAGTCAAGTACATGTCAATTAATTGTTAACCGTTTTAATTTCTTCTGTTTACTCTATCAAGAAACCCTCTTCGAGGTCAAGTGCAGTGGCTCACACCTGTAATCCCAACACTTTGGGAGGCCAAGGTGGGCAGATCACTTGAGATCAGGAGTTTGAGACCAGCCTAGCCAACATGGCAGAACCCTGTCTCTACAAAAAATACAAAAATTAGTCGGGCATGGTGGCATGCACCTGTATTCTCAGCTACTTAGAGGCTCAGGAGAAGCCTCTTAGATACTTAGATACTCGCTACTTAGATACTCAGGGGAATCACTTGAGCCAAGGTTGTGCCACTGCACTCTAACCTGGGCAACAGAGCGAGACCCTGTCTCCAAAAAAAAAAAAAAAAAAAAGCTATCTTGGATGAAATATATTGTCCTTGTATTTAGTGCTAATTTGAAGGCTAAGAACTTTGACTTCTCAGGAGCAAAGTTAGGCAGAGAATTACACAAAGACCTCAAACATGACAGTCTATTAGAGTCCCATCATAGTAACCCAGTGCTTTTTGTAGTTTTGTATTTGTACATATCACACTTGGATTACATACCCCCTGGAGCATTTTCAGATGATTCTTAATGTCCAAAGAGTAGGTTTGATAAAGAATGAAATGTCACATACAGCCTGTGAAGCTGACCTTGTTTGCTTAAAACTGGCATGGTTTTGTTTTGTTTTTGTTTTTTTCCAATTATAAAAAGTTACTGGCCAGGCACAGTGGCTCACACCTGTAATCCCAGCACTTTGGGAGGCCAAGGTGGGCGGATCATGAGGTCAGGAGATCGAGACCATCCTGGCCAACATGGTGAAACCCCGTCTCTACTAAAAATACAAAAATTAGCTGGGTGTGGTGGCACATGCTTGTAATCCCAGCTACTCGGGAGGGGAGGCAGGAGAATCACTTGAACCCGAAGGCGGAGGTTGCAGTGAGCCGAGATCGCGCCAGTGCACTCCATGCAGCCTGGCAACAGAGCAAGACTCCGTCTCAAAAAAAAAAAAAAAAAAAGGCTGGCTGTGGTGGCTCACAGCTGTAATCCTAGCACTTTGGGAAGCTGAGGCGGGCGGATCACCGGAGATCAGGAGTTCAAGACTAGCCTGACCAACATAGAGAAACCCCATCTCTACTACAAATACAAAATTAGCCGGGCGTGGTGGCATATGCCTGTAATCCTAGCTACTTGGGAGGCTGAGGCAGGAGAATCACTTGAACCTGGGAGACGAGAGGTTACAGTGAGCCGAGATTATGCCATTGCGCTCCAGCCTGGGCAATAAGAGTGAAACTCTGTCCCCCCCCCCCAAAAAAAAGTGATTTATGCTCATAGTGGCCAAAGTACAAAGAGGAAAATGATAACCACTTACAATCCTGCTTATAAAGAACACTAAATATTTCACATTTTCTTCTGTACTTTTCTTCTATGCATGTTCTCTTACTAAGATATATTTGCAATTCAATATCATCCTTTTTATTAGCTTAACAGTGTACCATAAACATTTCACCATATCACAAGAGTTTAAACTCTGAGGTCTGAATGCTTGTGTTCAAATATTGCCTTCCCTATTTAGTGTTTAAATGACCTTGGACAAGATATTTAACTTTCCTGTATCTCTCTTTTCCCCATCTGTAAAATGACACTAGGCTGGGTCTGGTGGCTCACTCCTGTAATCCCAGCACTTTGAGAGGCCAAGGTGGGAAGATTGCTTGAGCCTAGGAGTTCAAGACCAGCCTGGGCAATATAGTGAGACGCCATCTCTACTAAAAATAAAAAATTAGCTGGGCATGGTAGCATGCACTTGTGGTCCCAGCAACTTGGGAGGCTGAGGTGGGAGGCACACTCAAGCCCAGGAGGTTGAGGCTGCAGTGAGCTGTTACTAAGTCGGTGCTGCACTACCGTGACCTTGGTGACAGAACAAGACCTCATCTCAAAAAAACAAAAATAAAAAAGGCACTGATAGACTTACCTCATAGAGTGAGAATGAAATGTATTAATACCTATAAAACACTTGGAAAAGTGCTTAAATGTAGCTGTTTAATGAAATCTTTGCCCCATTTCATCTGTATCTTTAGGACTGAGTCCTAAAAGTGAAATTGATGAGTCAAGGGGTATGATTAGTTTAAAATAATTGTTACCTGAATTGCTTTCCTGAAATTTTCAGTCCCACCAACTGTGAGAATGGCATTCATTTCTTCCTTCTCAATACTGGTCATCACTTTTAAGTCTTTATTAGTTTGATAAAATAAATGCATTTTTTTTCTTAATTACTCTTTAGGTTAAAAGTGTTTTATTAACTGTTTATATATCCATTTTATGAATTGAAATAGGTATGAATCTATTTTTTCAAGATTAAAGGTGTTTGTCTAAGAGGAGCTATTTATTTTTAGTCAAGGCTTAATGAGGGCCAGGCCCAGTGGCTCATGCCTGTAATCCCAACACTTTGGGAGACTGAGACAGGAGGATCACTTGAGTCCAGGAGTTCAAGACCAGCCTGGACAATATAGCGAGACCCCATCTTGGAAAAAAGAAGACATAATGGGAAAGAAACAAAAGGAAAAAAAAATGGCCAGGTCCAGTGGCTCACACCGGTAATCCCAGCACTTTGGGAGGCAGAGGCAGATGGATCACCAGAGGTCAGGAGTTTGAGACCAGCCTGGCCAACATGTTGAAACCCCATCCCTACTAAAAATACAAAAATTAGCCTGGCATAGTGGCACATGTCTGTAATCCCAGCTACTCGTGAGGCTGAGGCAGGAGAATCACCTGAACCCAGGAGGCGGAGGTTGCAGTGAGCTGAGATTGCACCATTGCACTCCAGCCTGGGCAAAAAGAGAAAAACTCTGTCTTAAAAAAAAAAAAAAAGACATAATGAAAAATACATGATACTACTGTCTTGTTTTTTTTTCTTTGATACTACTGTCTTGTGCTTGTCTTACCCTTTCCTAGGAAGCTTTATAAGCGATATGCTTTTCTACGTTGTGAAGAAGAAAGAGAGCAGTTTCTTTACCACCTTCTTTCTCTCAATGCTGTGGACTATTTCTGCTTCACCAGTGTGTTCACTACTATCAGTAAGTTTAGAGAATTGACTGTTAAGGGTTACTGAGGTGGCTAATGGAATAAAAGCATTTATGTTTTTTAAAGCAAGATATGCCATAGTGTATGTGACATTGTGACATACCCCCAGATCTCTGTTTAGGATTAAAGGATATTCCCCAGATGCTAGGAGTGCTACAGGAAACCCTTGACTGTCAGGCTGTGGAGAATGCCTTACTGAAGAAAAGTACCTCACAAGATGATCCCTTCTGCCAATGCCAGCCAGCATCCCATGACTGAACAAAGGGCTGTCCGGGAGCTCACCATGGGGGTTAGATGGATGAGAACTTCATTGAGACTGCGTTGAAGCTTAACATCTTGCTTAACCAATCCTGCTTTCCTTCTCACATGTTGGTCCCAGGAGCAGCATTGTGCATGCTAATTTCTGACTCAGAGATTGCTTCCCAAGAAACCCAGTCTTTGATAGGAAATGTTACCTGCAACAGATGTGAAAAGGAATGTTTTATTAAGTAAATATTCCAATATCTTAACACATAAGTTGAAAGTAACTGTGTGATAATAATAAACTTATATAATTGGACATCATTCAACTTTGGAAGGAAATGCTGATTGGAGATTTTTTTTTTTTTTTTGAGACAGAGTCGCACTCCGTCACCCAGGCTGGAATTCAGTGGCATGATCTCAGCTCACCACAGCCTCCACCTCCTGGGTTCTAGGGATTCTTGTGCCTCAGCCTCCTAAGTAGCTGGAACTACAGGCACGCCCCACCACACCTGGCTAATTTTTGTATTTTTAGTAGAGATGGGGTTTCACCATGTTGGCCAGGCTGGTCTTGAACTCCTGACCTCAAGTGACCCACCTGCCTTAGCCTCCCAAAGTGCTGGGATTACAGGCATGAGCCACCACGCTTGACCTGGAGATTTTGTTGTTGTTGTTTTTGGTTTTTTTGAGATGGTGTCTGGCTCTGTCACCCAGGCTGGAGTGCAACCTCCGCCTCCTGGGTTCAAGCGATTATCCTGCCTTAGCCTCCCAAATCACAAGCCTATATGTAGGCATGTGTCACCATGCCCGGCTAATTTTTGTGTTTTTAGTGAAGACAGGGTTTCACCATGTTGGCCAGGCTGGTCTCAAACTTCTGACCTCAGGTGATCCACCCGTCTCAGCCTCCCAAAGTGCTAGGATTACAGGCGTGAACCACCGAGCCTGGCCAAGAGATGTATTTTTTATAGAAAGCTGAATGATAGCGTTTATTCTTTCCTTCATTGCTAATTCTTATTTGCAGTGGGTCCTCTTCCTTACTTTGGAGAATTTTTACTTGTATCAATTAGGAATTGCATTTAGCTGCAAGTATCAGAAACTTGAAAACCAGTGGTTTACAGCTTAATGATTTCACTTGCATAATAAAGGTCTCAAAGTAGGCAGTGGGCAGTGCTGTCACGGACCCAGGCTCATTGTCTTTTTCCCCTTAGACATGCTCTGTGTGTGCTAGTTACCTCATGGTTTCAACATGGCTGTTCTCAGTATACCTTCCAACCGGAAGGAGAGAGTGCCAAGGAGGGGCAGGATCTGTGCTAGAAAGACATAATTTTCCAAAAAATCTCAATAAATATCACTAACATTTCACTGACCAGAATTATGTAGGTTTTGGCTTTCCAGTCTCTGGTAATGGCAGACAAAGGAAAAGGGAATTGGAATGGGGATTAGGCCAGCCTGTAATGCCTGTCAAGGCGTTGATTAGGTTACTGCAGGTATAAGAAACTAAAACGTTACATACAGTTTTAAAATCAAAGAGGCCAGGCACAATGGCTCACACCTGTAATCCCAGCACTTTGGGAGGCCAAGGCGGTGGATAACGTGAGAGGTCAGGATTTCGAGACTGACCTGGTCAACATGGTGAAACCTCATCTCTACCAAAAAATATAAAAATTAGCCGGACATGGTGGCACATGCTTGTAGTCCCAGCTACTCGGGAGGCTGATGTGGGAGAACCACTTGAACCCGAGAGGCAGAGGTGGCAGTGAGCCAAGATCACGCCTGGGTAACAGGGTGAGAATCTGTCTCTAAATAAATAAGAAGAAATAGCAGTAGAGGAGTCCTAAGATCCTCCTTATATCTGTAGATGTCTCTTCATCTGAGTAACTCTTTCAATTTGAGGAATTCTTCATGAAAGAAATTTTTAAATTTAATCATGTTGCTTTTTCATACTTAAACTATGAAATCACCGTTGTGCATCTGTGGGCCTTTTGCAGCCACAGAACTGCTGACCCTAAACATGCCTTTTTTCTGCAGATTTTCTTATCCTATCAATGCAAGAAATGAGAGAAGCCTCTGGCACCTAAAATAAAGTCTTACGCTAACCTCTTCTGCTTTCAGTTTCAAAACCCATTTGATTCTGATGATTACTAAACCATGAAAGTATGGCCTTTTCTCTGACATTTTCCTATCCTAAAGCAAAATAAAAGGACACAAAGGGAGACTATTCATGTAACATAAAGTATTTTATGTAAAATTAGGGAAATGAACCATTTATTTCATTTGTTTTCCTCATCTAAGAGTGCACTGAACCATGAGCTCATACTGTGAGGCTGTATCTAGGCATCTTCTTCAGTAAATGTTTTTCATCCTAGTTGTAAATCTTTCAAGGAGGACTTCTAACACCCCCGCTTATGATCAAATGGGCAGAAATCCCAAGGATAACAAAAAATATTGATTCTACCCTACTTTAAACAAACAAACAAATAAAATGGCTGGGCATGGTGGCTCACACCTGTAATCCTAGCACTTTGGGAGGCCGAGGCGGTGGATCACCTGAGGTCAGGAGGTCGAGATCAGCCTGGCCAACATGGGGAAACCTTGTCTCTACTAAAAGTACAAAAATTAGCTGGGCGTTTTGGGCGCACACCTGTAATCCCAGCTACTCCAGAGACTGAGGTAGGAGAATCACTTGAACCCGGGAGGCAGAGGTTGCAGTAAGCTGAAATCGCCCCACTGCACTCAAGCCTGGGCATGACAGCAAGACTCCTTCTCAAAAAATAAATAAATAGTGACCGGGTGCGGTGGCTCACACCTGTAATCCCAGCACTTTGGGAGGCATTGGTCGGTAGATCACGTGGTCAGGAGTTCAAGACCAGCCTGGCCAAGATTATAAAACCCCGCCTCTACTAAAAGTACAAAAATTAGTCAGGCACGGTGGCAGGTCCCTGTATTCCCATCTTCTTTGGAGACTGAGGCAGGAGAATTGCTTGAACCCGGGTGGCAGAGGTTGCAGTGAGCCGAGATTGCACCACTGCACTCCAGCCTGGGAGACAGAGTGAAACTCTGTCTCAAAAATAAATACATGCACACATACATACATACATACATGGCAGGTGGCTCATGCCTGTAATCTTAACACTTTGGGAGGCCAAGGTGGGCAGATCTCTTGAGCTTAGGAGTTTGAGACCAGCCTGGGCAACATGACAAAACCCTGTCTCTACTAAAACTACAAAAAAAATAGCTGGGCGTAGTGGTGCACACCTCTGGTCCCAGCTACTTGGGAGGCTAAGGTGGGAGGATCACTTGAGCCTAGGAGATGGAGATTGCAGTAAGCTGAGATCGTGCCACTATACTCTACCCTGAGTGACAGAGCAAGACCCTGTCTCAAAAAAAATTTCAAAATTTCAAAACAGGCCAGGTTCAGTGGCTCATGCCTGGAGTCCCAGCGCTTTGAGAGGCCAAGGCAAGAGGATCACTTGAGTCCCGTTCAAGACCAGCTTAGGCAAAATAATGAGACCCTATCTCAACAAAAAGAACAATTAAAAAGTTAGCTAGGGGCCGGCTATGCAAAACCCCTTCTCTACTAAAAATACAAAAATTAGCCGGGCAAGGTGGCAGACACCTGTAATCCCAGCTACTTGGGAGGCTGAGGCTGGAGAATCACTTGAATCCAGGAGGCAGAGGTTGCAGTGAGCCAAGAACATGCCACTACCCTCCAGCCTGGGCGACAAGAGTGAAACTCTATCTCTAAATAAATAAAGTTAGCCAGGTGTGGTAGCATGCATCTATAGTCCCAGCTACTGGGGAGGCTGAGGTGGATGAGCCCCAGAGGTCAGTGCTGCATTAAACGCTGATTGGGCTGCTGCACTTCAGACCGGGCGACAGAGCTAAATCCTGTCTCCAGAAAACCAACAAACAACCAGAAGTGTATGGCTGTGATGGACAAAAATGCTTATGTGCTTAAGCCATCTCCCCCTCTTTTTGTTTTGAGACAGGGTCTCACTCTGTTGCCCAGACTGGAGTGCAGTAGTGGGATCAGAGTTCACTGCATCCTTGACCTCCCTGGCTCAAGGGATTCCCCCCTCCTCATCCTCTTGAGTAGTTGGGACTACAAGTGTGTACCACCAGGCCTGGCTAATTATTATTTTTTATTTTTAATAGAGACAAGGTCTCACTTTGTTGCCCAAGCTGATCTTGAACTCCTGAGCACAAGTGATCTGCCCACCTCAGCCTCCCAAGTTGCTAGGTAGGATAACAGACATGAGCTCCCGTCCCCCTTTTTTTTTTTTTTTTTTGAGACGGAGTCCCCCTTTTTTTTTTTTTTTTTTTTTTTTTTTTTTGAGACGGAGTTTCACTCCTGTTGCCTAGGCTGGAGTGCAATGGCGTGATCTCGGCTCACTGCAACCTCTGCCTCCTGGGTTCAAGCGATTCTCCTGCCTCAGCCTCCTGAGTAGTTGGGATTACAGGTGTGTGCCACCACACCTGGCTGATTTTTGTATTTTTAGTAGAGACGGGGTTTCACCATGTTGATCAGGCTGGTCTCGAACTCCTGACCTTGTGATCTACCCACCTCGGCCTCCCAAAGTGCTGGGATTACAGGCGTGAACCACCACACCCAGCGATTTTCTTTTTTTTTTTTTTTTTTTTTTTGAGACAGAGTCTCACTCTGTTGCCCAGGCTGGAGTGCAGTAGTGCAGTCTCGGCTCACCACAACCTCTGCCTCCCAGGTTCAAGCGATTCTCCTGCCTCTGCCTCCCAAGTAGCTGGGATTACAGGTGCACACCATGACACCCAGCTAATTTTTTTTTCATATTTTTAGTAGAGATAGGGTTTCACCATGATGGCCAGGCTAGTCTCGAACTCCTGACATCAAGTGATTCACCTGCCTTTACCGTCCAAAGTGCTGTGATTACAGTCCTGAGCCACCATGCCCGGCCCTGTTCCCATTTTTTAAAAAGAGAAGGGAGGGATGGGCGCAGTGGCTCACCTGAAGTTAGGAGTTGGAGACCATCCTGGCCAACATGATGAAACCCCATCTCTCTACTAACAGTACAAAATTTAGCTGGGTGTGGTGGCAGGCGCCTGTAATCCCAGCTAACTCAAGAGGCTGAGTCAGGAGAATCACTTGAACCTGGGAGGCAGAGGTTGCAGTGAACCCAGATCGCACCATTGCACTCCAGCCTGGGCAACATGAGCGAGACTGTCTGAAAAAAAAAAAAAAAAGAAGGGAGGACATGCGTAACGTCTGACCTCTCGTGCTTCCACATTTGAGCTAAGGACGGTAATAGGGCAGTGACATCTAGTGGTGTGTCTGTGGAAGAGCCTCCCCGGGCTCCTCTTGCACCTGAGTCACCTTAATAGCTTTCCAAGTTGTGGTTTATAGACTTCACAGTATATCCAGAGTGGAGGTGCCATTGTTTATTATTTGTGGTTTTTGCATATTGTTCTGTAAACTTGGGACGGGAAAGTTCTGAAATGCAGCGCTTTAAAGCATTGCCCAAGAAACAGTACTGTCCATCCACCCCTCTTTTTATATAAAACCATGTCAGTAATCATGTTCATTTCTACTCAATTTTGGTATAAAATTAATTTTTAAGAAAATTTAAGCAATGAAAACACAATATACACAGTCAATGTTCATATCTTTAGGTATTCTGGTACTAATGCTTGAGATTGTTCATACATTTAATGGTGATATATGCATCATACATACATGATGATATACATGCTGTGAAAACCATTGCTGCAAGTATTGAAACTTCTGGTTTGCAAACTAGATCTCATCTTTCTAGACTGAAAGGTTTTGATATCAACTTTTCATGTAAGTACATCTTGATAGATCATAAAAAGCAAATTATCAATGAAAACCAATAGAGTTCTTAATATATTGTTATAAGGAGAATTTTATTCCCACTTTTTTATTAATTTCTGCATTTTTCTTTCAGTGATTCCATATAGGTCAGTGATCATCCCAATCAAAAAGCTGAGCAATGCAATAATCACATCAAACCCTTGGATCTGTGTATCAGGAGAGCTAGGAGACACAGGAGTAATGCAGATTCCCAAAAACCTCCTCGAAATGACCTTTGAGGTAGGTTCAGCTAACACCTTTCCTAGCAGAATGTATCACGTGTAGTTTTACAGATGGATTCTGTCTGGCTTTTTCATTTTTCCTTGAATCAAACAAAACAGAGGAACATTCAAAGCATGCAGGATCATTTTTGTGATTATATGTCAAAAGTTATCTTAAGCAGCTTATACTAATTTGTTTTTGTTTTACATTTTCATTGTTAAGCTCTATTTTTCGCTTGTAGTGGTATGCTTTGAGGCTTTCCAGGTCTTCTCCCATTGTTTTCAGGGCCTAGCACAGATCCTAGCAAGCAGGAAATATTCAAATAAATGTTTTCCCCACAGTGGTTCTCTTCCCTACTGTAAAATGCTTTCTGCCCAAACCTGGTCATCCTTTGGCAAAAGGACAGGAGAGCTGATATTCACGCTTATGGATTTTATTTTATTATTTTTTATTTTTTATTTATTTTTATTTTTTTGAGACAGAGTCTTGCTCTTTCGCCCAGGCTGGAGTGCAGTGGTGTGATCTCCACTCATTGCAACCCCTACCTCTTGGGTTCAAGCGTCTGCTTACAGATTTTAGACCACATGGTGACATTTATAGAGTGATTCTATAAAAATGCCTTTTGGCCAGGCACAGTGAGTCTGCCTGTAATCTCAACACTTTGGGAGACCAAGGCAAGCAGATTGCTTGAGCCCAGGAGTTTGAGACAACCAGCCTGGGCAACATAGTGAGACCCCATCTCTACAGAAAACACAAAAATTAGCTGGGCATGGTGGCATGCACCTGTAGTCCAGGTACTTGCAAGGCTGAGGTCACTTGAGCCCAGGAGACAGAGGTTGTAGTGAGCCAAGATTGTGTCACTGCACTCCAGCCTGGATGACAGAGTGAGACTCTGTCTCAAAAAGCAAAATAAACAACCTTTTAATATTGTAGTCAATTTTCAGGTCTTACTTGGTGAGATAGTTCCATGTGGTTAAGCCTGTACACAGGTTGATCTTGGTGGAGGAAGAGGACAAATAACTGTTGTGTTTGAGGAAGGAAATGGTACTAACTGAATGTCCCATTCTCATGTTCCTTGGGGTCTCGAAATAGCAGTTTCCACTTAGAGTCATGATACCACCCCCCTGCCCCAGGAGCCCAGTTTGGCCTTATCCATGCAGTAGACTCAAAGCCACCTGTATATAAAATATTAAAACCCTTGGCTTTTCTTCATCTACCAATAATGGAACTACGTTAAAAACCCCATCATTGCCATTTCTAAGCTGTCTCTCTCATGTCTACCTACTTCTTTCCATCTCTGCAGTACAACTAATTCAAGATGCCGCCATCCCTAGAGTGTGGTGATACCTTCTCACTGAGCTACAAAGAATAAAGTGCTTTAAGAACTCGTAGCTCTGGCCGGGCACAGTGACTCACGCCTGTAATCCCAGCACTTTGGGAGGCCAAGGAGGGCAGATCACCTGAGGTCGGGTGTTCGAGGCCAGCCTGACCAACATGGAGAAACCCCATCTCTACTAAAAACACAAAAATTAGCCGGGCATGGTGGCATATGCCTGCAATCCCAGCTACTGAGGAGGCTGAGGCAGGAGAATCGCTTGAACCCGGGAGGCAAAGGTTGCGGTTAGCTGAGATTGCACCATTGCACTCCAGCCTGGGCAATGAGAGTGAAACTCCATCTCAAAAAAAAAAAAAAAAAAACCTCGTAGCTCTAATGGATACAAAAAAATAGAGTGAATAAGACCTAGTATTCACTAGCACAACAGGGTGACTATAGTCAAAAATAATTTAACTGTACATTTTAAAATAACTAAAAGAGTATAATTGGATTGTCACACAAATGATAAATGTTTGAGGTGACAGATACCCCATTTATCCTGATACAGTTATTAGGCATTGCATGCCTATATCAAAATATCTCAATTAATCCATAAATACACACATCTACTAGGTACCCATAAAAATTAAAAATTAAAATTAACCAAAAAAAGAACTTATAATTCTGATGTTCTCATCCAGCACGTAGTTGGGGTCAGTGATCTTTTCATTATCAGATTTTAGAAGTCAGAATTTAATTAGTATTCATTTTTACTATTCCTATTATCATTGCTTTATTTTGTACTTGTCCACAAAGGGCCAGTGAAGATAACTTACTGATAGCTGTGCCTTTTAAAAAATAGCTTCGAAGACTTCTAGTATATGAGGTCTGAGGTCAGTTCTGCCTGAGTATCTTATTGGAACAGAAAAATGTCAACATCTCATGTACCCTATAAATATATATACCTACTGTGTACCCACAAAAAAAAAAAAAAATTTTTTTAAAGAAAGAATATTGGCTGGGCACGGTGGCTCAAGCCTGTAATCCCAGCACTTTGGGAGTCCGAGACAGGCGGATCACAAGGTCAGGAGATTGAGACCGTCCTGGCTAACACGGTGAAACCCGTCTCTACTAAAAAATACAAAAAAAAACTAGCCGGGCGAGGTGGCGGGCACCTGTAGTCCCAGCTACTCGGGAGGCTGAGGCAGGAGAATGGCGTAAACCCGGGAGTCGGAGCTTGCAGTGAGCTGAGATCTGGCCACTGCACTCCAGCCTGGGCAATAGAGCGAGACTCTGTCTCAAAAAAAAAAAAAAGAAGAATATCAGTGTCAGTGATTTTTAAAATCTATAATTGTTTTCTTGGCCTCTCTGTAACTAAATCTAAATAGCATCTTTTTCCTGTTTTTTGAAATTCTTCTCATCCTTCAAGGCACAAGTCACTGTGTCAATGTTGTTTGTGGGTTCCCCAAGTAGAAGTAACTGTTCCTTCCCCAGCGTTCTTCTAGCACTTTTTATATCTCTAATCTAGCACTGTGTGCAGTCCCCCTCGTTTGGTAGTTAATGTCCATATGTCTCCTATCTCATTATGTGGGAGCTCTCTGAGAGCAAGGAATACATGTGAATATATTTCTCTAGTGCATAGCTGAATATATTATTCAGGGTTTGTCTATGCAGTTGTTAAATTAGACGGAACCAAAGTACCTGTAAAGCTGAGATGTAACAGGATGGGATTGAGTACTAAATAACCTAAAGTCCTGTCCCTACAGTGCCAGAACTTGGGGAAGCTGACCACTGTTCAGATTGGTCACGATAACTCAGGACTGTTAGCCAAATGGCTAGTGGATTGTGTCATGGTCAGAAATGAAATCACAGGACATACATACAGGTAAGTAAATGGCCTTGGGAACTCAGAATTCTTTGTTTTAAGACTCTTCAGATAAGAAAAGGTTTAAGAATTGTAGGCTGGGCACAGTGGCTCACACCTGTAATCCCAGCACTTTGAGAGGCCAAGACGGGTGCATCACCTGAGGTCAGGAGTTTGAGACCAGCCTGACGAACATGGTGAAACCTCATCTCTACTAAATAAAAAAAATTAGCGGGGCATGGTGGCGTATGCCTGTAATCCCAGCTACTTGGGAGGTTGAGGCAGGAGAATCGCTCAAACCCAGGAGGCGGAGATTTGCAGTGAACCGAGATTGCTCCATTGCACTCCAGCCTGGGCAACAAGGTGAAACTCCATCTCAAAAAAAAAAAAAAAAAAGATTGTTTGAGTTCTTCTACTGCCTTCTGAATTTTAGGGTTTTTTTTTCTCCAGGGGAGGGGGACAATTTTTTTTTGTTTATGTCATACAAAATTGCCCCCCAAAAAACTTTTTTTTCTTTTTCTTTTCTTTTTTTTTCTTTTTTTTTTGAGACAGAGTTTCACTCTTGTTGCCCAGGCTAGAGTGCAGTGGCACTATCTCGGCTCACTGCAACCTCTGCCTCCCAGGTTCAAGCAATTCTTGTGCTTCAGCCTCCCAAGTAGCTGGGATTACAGGTACCCGCCACCATACCTGGCTAATTTCTGTATTTTTAGTAGTGATGGGAGTTTCGCTGTATTGGCCAGGCTGCTCTCAAACTCCTAACCTCAAGTGATCCACCCACCTTGGCCTCCCAAAGTGCTGGGATTACAGGCATGAGCCACCATGCCCAGCCCCAAAAAACTTTAAAACAACAGATGTTTGCTGCTATTGCTTAGTCCACAAATGTTGGAAAGATTAATATAACTCTCAGAAAAAAAGAAAATCAAAAAGAGCCTGAAATAATTTCAGTAGGAGGAAAAGATCTCTTGGATTCCACTAGTCACAGCCAATACTACTCTGTGGAAGCATTGTCCTCTTTTCTTCTGTGCCTTAACTCCCAAATTACTTTCTAGTTTGAAAATACTCTGACCGGGTGCAATGGCTCACACCTGTGTAATCCTCCTCCCCACACTTTGGGAAACTGAGATGGGAGGATCACTTGAGGCCAGGAGTTCAAGACCAGCCTAGGCAATGTAATGAGACCTTCTCTCTATGAAAAACACAAAAATTAGCCAGGTGTGTTGGTGCACACCTGTAGTCCCAGCTACTCAGGGAGCTGAACAAGAACCCTGTCTCAAAAAAAAAATAAAAATAAAAAATTTGTTTTCTGTTCTACCAGATTCCCATGTGGACGGTGGCTAGGGAAAGGCATTGATGATGGGAGCCTGGAGAGAATTCTTATTGGAGAATTGATGACATCAGCATCAGATGATGATCTAGTAAAGCAGTGTCGGACTCCACCCCAGCAGAAGTCACCCACCACGGCTAGGAGATTGAGCATCACTTCACTGACAGGAAAAAACAACAGTAAGTATATTTAAATTTTTCCTATGTGCTCATATGATGTAGGCTTCATGTGACCATTTGATAGAAAACAGTTATGTTAATGAATGTAGTGAGGAGATTTAAAAAAGAAGAAAGTTGAGGAAAATTCATAAACATTCAAAAGCTGGAAGAGTTTAGAGTTAAAATCTATCTTTTTAGAAAACCTGCATGCTCTGTTTTTATTAAGCTGTGGAAATATAAGTAAATATTTTACCTGAAACTTTTATTTTTTGAGACAAGGTTTCACTCTGTCACCCAGGCTAGAATGCAGTGGCACAGTCTCAGCTCACTGCAGCCTCTGCCTCTGCCCCCTGGGTTCAAATGATCCTCCCACCTCAGCTTTCCAAGTAGCTGGGACTATAGGCACACATCATCACACCCGGCTAATTTTTGTATTTTTTTTATGGACTGCCTTTCGCCATGTTGCCCAGGCTGGTCTTGAACTACTGAACTCAAGCAATCTGCCTGCCTCAGCCTCCCAAAGTGCTGGCATTGCAGGCATGTGCCACCACATCTGGCCTTGCCTGAAACTTAAAGGAGAAATAATAATAGTTGTATGTTACAGTACTCCCAGATAGCCATATCTAGCCTTTTTTTTTTTTTTTTTTTTTTTTTTTAAGGAGTCTTGCTCTGTCACCCAGGCTGCAGTGCAATGGTGCGATCTCAGCTCTCTGCAACCCCTGCCTCCCAGGTTCAAACAATTCTCCTGCCTCAGCCTCCCAAGTAGCTGGGATCACAGGTGCCCGCCACCACACCTGGCTAATTTTTTATATTTTTGATAGAGACGGGGTTTCCCCATGGTGGCCAGGCTGATCTCAATCTCTTGACCTTGAGATCCGCCCGCCTTGGCCTCTGAAAGTTCTGGGATTAGAGGCGTGAGCCACTGCGCCTGCCCCAGTGTCTCTTATTCTAAGAGATTAAAATTTCCTTCTACCCCTTCTGTTCCAATTTTCTTCCTATAGTAGGGATGAAACAAAATACTATAAAGGAGTTAATTTGATGAATATTATACTATGTTCACATGCCATTTTTAGTATATCGTAAACTTCCTAATTTATACTAATGTAGGCTTTAATAGACTAAATTACTAATGTAGGCTTTAATAGACTAAATAATGTCTCCCAAAAATGTAAAATTCTAACCTCTAGAATCTGTAAATGTTGCCTTATTTGGAAAAAGGATTTTTGCAGATGTGATAGGGATCTTGAAATAAGGAGATTGTCCTGGATCACCTACATGGACCCTAAATGCAATCATATGTATTCTTTCCCAACACTTTGGGAGGCCAAAGTGGGCAGATCACTTGAGGTCAGGAGTTTGAGGCCAACATAGCAAAACCCCGTCTCTACTAAAAAAAAAAAAAAAAAAAAAATTAACCAGGCATGTGGTGCATGCCTGTAATCCCAGCTACTCAGGAGACTGAGGCATGAGGATTGCTTTAACCCAGGAGGTAGAGGTTGCAGTGAGCCGAGCTCATGCCACTGCATTCCAGCTTGAGTGACAGAGTGACACTCTGTCTTTTTTTGGGTTTTTTTTTGGTGCCAATTTTAAATAGTTTTATTTAAGACATTGCATTTTCCACTTACAATACAGTGTTTATAAAGTGCAATGTTATTTCCTTCTTCTGTGCATATGTTCCATATTCAAGTATTGAGGAAAATATGGAATGCTTCACAAATTTGCTTGTCATCCTTGTGCAGGGGCCATGCTAATAATCTTCTCTGTATTGTTCCAATTTTTTAGTATATGTGCTGCAAGTATATGTGAAGCAAGCACGACTGTGTCTTTAAAAAAAAAAAAAAAAAAAAAAAAGGAATGCCCGCCGGGCGCTATGGCTCATGCCTGTAATCTCAGCCAGCACTTTGGGAGGCTGAGTTGGATCACCTGAGGTCAGGAGTTTGAGGCCAGCCTGACTCGTCTCTACTGAAAATACAAAAATTAGCCGGGCATAGTAGCGTGCACCTGTAATCCTAGCTACTCGAGAGGCTGAGACAGGAGAATTGCTTAAATCTGGGAGGTGGAGGTTGCAGTGAGCTGAGATCTGGCCACTGCACTACATGCGCTACAGCCTAGGCAACAGAGCAAGACTCCGTCTCAAAAAAAAAAAAAAAAAAAAAGGAATGCCAACAGCCACCAGAAGCTAAAAGAGGCAAGGAAGGGATTTTCCCCTAGAATTTCAAGGGAATGCAGCCCTGCTGACACCTTGTTTTTTTTTTTTCTTTTGCCCAGTGATAACTAAATTTTGACTTCTGGCCCCAAGAACTGCAATAAAATGTATTTCTGTCACTTAAGCCAGCAAATTTTTGAGTCTATTACAGCAGCCACAGAAGGCAGCCACAGAACATGAATATAGAGGCAGTATTTAGGGAAAAGTTACAGAAGTTTATCAGTGAAGGGGCTTTTTAGCTATAGATTATAACCACAAGTAGAATAACAAAGGTACCTAATAGGTCCTTAGTTTATTAACAAAGTAGTTTCCCTAGGTTCTATTAGTCTCTATCCATTTGCTAACACATGATTGTGTATTAACCATGTGTGCAGTTTTTTTTGTTTTTGTTTTTGTTTGTTTGTTTTTTGACTGAGTTTCGCTCTTGTTGGCGGGGCTGGAGTGCAGTGGTGCAGTCTCATCTCACTGCAACCTCCGCTTCCCAGGTTCAAGCGATTCTCCTGCCTCAGCTTCCCAAGTAGCTGGGATTACGGGCATGCACTGCCACACGAGGCTAATTTTGTATTTTGGGTAGGGATGGAGTTTCACCGTATTGGCCAGGCTGGTCTTGAACTCCTGACCTCAGATGATCCTCCCGCCTCAGCCTGCCAGAGTGCTGTGATTGCAGGTGTGAGCCACTGCGCCCAACCAATTTAAAGCACTTACAGCAACAAATATTGGTAAGGATGTGGAGTAACAGAAAGCTCATGCATTGCTAGTGGGAATACAAAATAAAAAACATCTTGGCATTTATAAAGATACATGTACACTTACCATACCCTTGGCCCAGCAATCTCACTCCTAGATATGTACACAAGAGAAATGAATACATATATCTGCACAGACTTGTATGCAGATGTTCTTAGAGCTTTATTCATAATAACCAAAGATGGAAACAACCCCAATATCCATCAACTGGTGAAAGGATAAACAGATAGTGATATGTATCTGTTTATATATCAGATCTGTATAAAAGCAATATAATAATAGAAAGCAGATCAGTGGTTGCCAGGAGTTAGGAGCTAAGGAAGGTAACTGAAAAGAGCACAGGGTAACTTTCAGGAATGATGGAAATGTTCCATATCATGATTGTGGTGGTGGTTACATGACTGTCCATTTGTCAAAGCTCATCAAAATTGGTGACTTTTAGTATATGGTGAATTTTAATTATGCTGATTTAAAATTTGAAAGTAGGTTTCAGCTCAATCCATCCAAATTATTATGACAGCTGAGTCAGTCCAATTTCATGGGGGTATTATTTGAAAGGCTTTTATCCCCCATTTTTTTTTATCATACTTTCTTTTCTCACTCTATAAGCAGAAAAGTCTGAATGACCCAAGACTCAGAAATGGATAACGGTATTTTCTCACAGTATGTTATATGTAAGATGGTATTCAGAGAACTGAAAATTTTTAAAATCAGTTTTAAAATAATCTTGATCAAGGCTCTTTTGGAATGGGTGACAGGTTTCAAAATAGACTTGATGTCTAAAAGAAGAAATAGAGAAAGATAAAGGTAAAAAACCAAAAAGCTACTGGGTAGAGAAACTACTAGGAACAAGAGGTCGTGGTATCAGTACTTCAATTATAGGAGGTTTTCATTTTAACAATTTTTATGCATTAGTGTAGAAAAAACCTTGAATTTCACTGAAAGAAATGTTTATGCAAGAAATCCTTGAGCAGTATGAATTCAGAGAATCTTAAACATGAGGATGTATGGGTTTTCCTTTATAGTGTGATAAGTAAATTAGAACTACAAGAAAATCCAAACTATATACCTTTTCTCTTGTTACCTACTTCTGAAATGTTTACCACCTTTTTTAAAAAACAAACCATTCCTAAGATTTGGTGGACAAAAGTGATTTAGGTCCCATTCAAGCAGCCCACCAACCTATCCCTCAGGAAAGTAGCCTAGAAGATAAGTGCTGGCTGGCAGAAGGAAGCGGTGCTGAGACAGATTGACTAGCCAGGAAGGGAGGGAGTTCTGGGCTTCAGGCCTGGATGCCACAGGGTACCTGGCATTTTCCCCTTATTTTAAACACAATAGCAAATCTTCAAACTCCAGGTTAGCTATCCAGAGCGCCTCAAGCCTTAGTCTATGCTCACTAACAGGCTCATAGGTACGTAGCATAAGGGAACATTTGAGGAGTGATGCTGGGACGTCCCAGCCTTGCTTCTCATATTTGGGGGCTTGCTTGCATTTTGTGACAGGCACCATGCTAAGTTGTTTACTCCTATAACTTACCAGTTTTCCCAATGAGGTGTGTATTTTCCCTATTTTCAGCTGAGGAAACTGAAAACTCAGAGGAAGTTAGACACTAGGCTAGAGTTATAGATTGCAGATGGTAATGCTGGGATTTGAATCTAGGGATCTCTTGGATTATTTTCCATTTTGCCAGGATGCCTCCCACTTGGCCAAACTGGCCAGAGGCAAGTTCTATAGAGCCCCTGGCAAAGCCAGCCTGCTCTGGTGACGTACTTCCTGCCTAGGTGGACACAGTCGATGTCCCATAGTACTTTGGTTTATTTATCTCCCATGAGAATGCAGCCACTGTTTATTATTTTACAGAACCCAATGCTGGGCAGATCCAAGAAGGAATTGGAGAAGCTGTGAATAATATTGTGAAACATTTTCATAAACCTGAAAAAGAGGTATTTATGGGCTATAAAACTTAGTATAGTGGGACTTTTAAAGATGCTTTTATATGTGATACACGAGGCAATATGGGGTGCTTGAATTTTCATTTGTAAGCTTTCTGGTAGCTGTAAAAATATGCTTCATATAGCTACATTCAGCACTTGCTTCTCTAGTGTTTTTCTTAGACATAGTTGCAGGAGATTTTTCTTTGACACTGTGTGTTATGCCCCACAGAGAGGAAGCCTCACCGTGTTGCTGTGTGGAGAAAATGGCCTGGTTGCAGCCCTTGAGCAGGTTTTCCACCATGGGTTCAAATCTGCCCGCATCTTTCACAAGAATGTCTTCATCTGGGACTTCATAGGTAAATAAAGCAGATGTATGTACTTTAAGGTCACTGAAGTGTTTCTTAGGAACTCACAGACCCAGGAATCTGAGTGAATAAGGGTTAGTGATAAGGGTATATATATATATATTTTTTTTCTTTTTTTGAGACGGAGTCTTACTCTGTTGCCCAAGCTGGAGTGCAGTGGCACAATCTTTGCTCACTGCAACCCTCCTTCTCCTGGGTTCAAATGATTCTCCTGCCTCAGCCTCCCAAGCAGCTGGGACTACAGGTGTGCACCACCATGCCCAACTAATTTTCGTATTTTTACTAGAGAAGGGGTTTTACCATATTGGCCAGGCTGGTCTTGAACTCCTGACCTCGTGATCCTCCCGCCTCAGCCTCCCAAAGTGCTGGGATTACAGGAATGAGCCACCGTGCCCGGCAAAGGTATATATATTTTTTTAAATAAATATTAAATTAGCTGAGTGTGCTAGCAAACACCTGTGGTTCCAGCTACCTGAGAAGCTGGGGCAGCAGCATCACTTGAGCCCAGGAGCCCAGGAGGTGAAGTCAGCCATGATCAAGCCACTGCACTCCAGCCTGGGCAACAGAGTGAGACCCTGTCTCAAAAAGTATATATAATAATAATAAATATCAAGTACTGTCCTTGTTTTTCATTCACTCAACAAATTATAATATGTACAATATTCCAAATATTATTCAAGTTGCTCAAGATATACATTAATAAACAAAACAGAAATCCCTGTGGTTGACAAACTTAGGTTAGTGTGGGAAACAAACAATACACCAAAACAACAAATAATGTAATTCATATGGTATGTCAGAAATGTGACCATTGATCTGGAAAGAAATAGAGCAGTATAAAAGGAAATAAAGTGGGGATTTAAATGGGTGGTCTTTTTAACGGGTGGTTTTAGGCTGTGCTGAATGTCAAGGTACATTGGAGCATAGACTTCATGCAGGTGAGGAAGGAAGCCATGTAGATATCTGGGAAGAGGGACTCCAGGTTGACAGCACTACGAGTGCTAAGCCCCAAGGCGGAAGTGTTTCCATGGAACTCCAAGACCAGTGTGACTGGAGCACAGCGAGAGAGAGAGAGTAGGAGACTCGGGGAGGTGGTGTTTAGTGCCAGTGCCAGGTTGTGTAGGGCCTTCTAGGTGATTGGAATGACCTCAGCCTTTATCCTGAATGAAATGGGAAGCTGTTGGAAGGCTTTGAGCTAAGGAGTGACATGATAGAACTTTTTTGTTTGTTTGAGATGGAGTTTCACTCTGCTGCCCAGGCTGGAGTGCAGTGGCCCCATCTCAGCTCACTGCAACCTCTGCCTCCTGGGTTCAAGCGATTCTCCTGCCTTAGTCACTGAGTAGCTGGGATTACAGTTGCCTGCTACCACACCCCTAATTTTTGTATTTTTAGTAGAGACGGGGTTTTGCCATGTTGGCCACGCTGGTCCCAAATTCTGTTCTCAAGTGATCCACTCAGGTCGGCCTCCCAAGGTGCTGGGATTACAGGTGTGAGCCACTGCACCTGACCAGTTTTTGTAAAAGGATTCCTCTAGCTCTGTGTTGTCCAGTATAGTAACCATTAGCCACACATAGTCGTTTAAATTTTAAATCTATTTAATTTTTTTGTTTGTTTTAGAGTCTCACTCTGTTGCCCAGGCTGGAGTGCAATGGTGTGATCTTGGCTCACCGCAACCTCTGCCTCCTGGGTTCAAGCAATTCTCCTGCCTCAGCCCAAGTAGCTGGGATTACAGGTGCCTGCCACCACGCCCAGCTAATTGTTGTATTTTTAGTAGAGACGGGGTTTCACCATGCTGGCTAGGCTGGTCTCGAACTCCTGACCTCAGGTAATCTGCCCGCCTTGGCTTCCCAAAGTGCTGGGATTACAGGCGTGAGCCACCACGCCTGGCCAAATGTATTTAATTTAAATCAAATGTAAATTTCATTTTCTTAATAACACTGGCCACATTTCAAGTGCTCAGTAGCCACACGTGGCTACCAAATTGGACCTTGTAGATGGAGAACATTTTCATAATCACAGAAAGCTCTTTTGGAGTGTTTCCGCTCTAGCTTGCTAAACTTTGTAATCTTTCTTTTGATATGCAGCTCTTCCAGAATTCATAGTTTCTTTAAATGGGCAATTAATCATTTTGTGTTTTCTAAATAAGGCCTAGATGAAGTAGTTTATTTCCTCTAACTTAGAATAGACCAAAAAAAAAGGAAAGTTGATAGAAATAGGCCCACAGGTTTTTTTTCTTCTGGAATGCCTAGAATCTTACTGCGTCTGCTTCTCGTGTATATACATATGTCTGTCTTTGTCAGATACTTATTCAGGTACATTTCAAGGGTCTTGTTGCAAAGTGTTAGCAAGTTATTCTATAAGTAGAACACAGGGGGTATTATTTCAGTGGCTACCACGTCATTGCTGGTTACTCCTAGAAGGTTCCAGTCTTAACAGAAGATACTATTTTTCTTTTCTTTTTTGCCAGTTTCTGTTTCATGAAGGTATTTTAAAGGGAGTAAACTTTATAGTCTTCTGGAATACAGTCTAGATTAGAAAATAAATTCCTGGCTGGGCGCGGTGGCTCAAGCCTGTAATCCCAGCACTTAGGGAGGCCGAGATGGGCGGATCATGAGGTCATGAGATCGAGACCATCCTGGCTAACGTGGTGAAACCCCGTCTCTACTAAAAAATACAAAAAACTAGCCGGGCAAGGTGGCGGGCGCCTGTAGTCCCAGCTACTCAGGAGGCTGAGGCAGGAGAATGGCATAAACCCTGGAGGCGGAGCTTGCAGTGAGCTGAGATCAGGCCACTGCACTCCAGCTTTGGCGACAGAGCGAGACTCCGTCTCAAAAAAAAAAAAAAAGAAAAGAAAAGAAATTCCTGGGAACGTATTTATTGTTCTACCATGAAACATGGACCCCTGAAATCAATGATAAAGTAATGATATTGGCTTCAGCACTGACTATATGCAAAGCATCATTAGTGTTTCCATAATAAATTAAGTGATGAATCTTTCTATATATGAAGTGTTGACATATATTGTGATACAATTCTGACTTTTTTCCTCAGAGAAAGTGGTTGCTTATTTTGAAACAACTGACCAGATTCTAGATAGTGAAGATGATGTCCTTATTCAGAAATCATCCTGTAAAACTTTCTGCCACTATGTAAATGCTATTAATACTGCACCCAGGAACATTGGGAAGGACGGCAAATTCCAGATTTTAGTTTGCCTTGGAACAAGGTACAAAACCAGTGTTTTATTTTTCCTATCTTTGTTACACGTTGAACTGTTACATGTTGAACTAGAGTCCAGAAAAGGTTATACCAGATCATACCCCTTCCAGAGCTCTCCTTTGGGTTACTTTCTTTCCTTTTACTTTTTCTTTTGAGACAGAGTCTCACTCCATCGCCCAGGCTGGAGTGCCATGGCGTAATCTTGGCTCACTGCAACCTCTGCCTCCTCCCTCGAGTTTAATTCACCACTAACCACTACATGAAGTAGCAAAGGATTTTCTCATTTTAAAGATAAGAAAGTAGAAAATAGATGAGGCACACATAAGTTAGCAGACTTTCCCAAGGACACACAGAAAAATGGGACAGAGCCGAGTTGACACCCTGTCCCACTGCAGAGCCCAAGGTCTCCACCATGACTCTATACTGGCTCCACAGATAGATGGGTAATAGAGAGGTTGCTAGATAATAAGACACATACATCGTACATATTCGCTATGTAAACCTTATATAGTATATATATACCACTCTATTTACATTTAATAACATTATGGGATTCTTGCTATATATCATCATCTCTCTAAGACTATTTCCTACCCCTTTATTTTTTGAAAGTAGCACATAGGAGCGATACAATCCATTACTTTTAAAACAGCTCTCAGAATTGTAAGAAATGAAACATAGAGACCTTTAGTTTTCTTTTTTTAAGTTACCCGCGTAGTATTTGTTTTTTCCTGAACCTTAAGAGCCCCAACCTGAGACTGAAGATGGCCTGGTTGGGGATGCTCAATAAGGATGTCTTAGGAACTTAGCAATGGGTTACTAATGTCAGGTTTGATCAGGAAAAATTGAAGATGTGAGGTTTTATCCTCCTGAAACAGCTGGTTTACAGAACTAAGTTCTGTATTTCTTCTTCATAAAAGGAGCCCAGTTTTAGCTGTGCTTTTAAAATTTCTTTTGAGCATGATCTTTATCTCCTTTTATCTCTATACTCTCCTGATTTATTAGACGAATGCAAACTCTCATCTGGTTTATAAAATCTACTTAATGTTTTTCTGCTTTGATTTTGTTCCTCACCCTGTTATGTTGTATAAGTTAAAAAAAATAAAAAGCAAATCCCTACAGTTTAGTGTAGTCTTTCTTCCAAAAGGTCAGTATACTGTGGCATGCCTTGCCACAGAGTAACACTCCTATTAAAAAAAAAAAAAAAAAAAAAAGACATAGAAAATGACATTCTGCCTCTTTCTAAAGGTGGTAAAATCAGAATAGAGAATGTCTTTAATGTGCATAGACTCTCTAATGTAATTAAATTGGGTTTAAAATAATGGATTTTCCCTTTAGCTTTACACTATCTCATCACTGTTTTTTTTACCAGAAAATATTCAACTTCTTGGCTTTGATTTCCTCTCTCCTGACCTCTTAGCTTAGATAGATTTTGTACCATCAGGCCCCACACTTACCCATTCACACAGGCTCCACTGTGTGCCTTGTTCTGCAGTGAGGCCAGCAGTGCTTAGGAATTGTTTCTGTTTGGATCTGTAGGGATCGCCTGCTCCCACAGTGGATTCCATTGTTAGCTGAGTGTCCAGCCATCACTCGAATGTATGAAGAGAGCGCTCTCCTGCGAGACCGCATGACTGTCAACTCCCTTATCCGAATTCTGCAGACCATTCAGGACTTCACCATAGTCCTAGAAGGATCACTCATCAAAGGAGTGGACGTGTAACCCAACTGTCTAGAAACTCTCAGTCCAAACCTTGCTCCTTCCCCAACTAGGGGACCGATTTGGACTTGTCTGACAGTAGTGAGTCACTGCAGGGGCAGCCCAACATATGCCCCATTTGGAACAATCCTCACTCTACAGACAAGGCAAAATGTTGTATTGTAGTTCATTTGAACCTGGAATTTAGTATAAAATAGAGTATTTTCATGTGTTAGATGTGTGTAAATATGCTATCTTCTTTAAGAAATTATATTACTCGAATAAGATGCTTTTCTTAGATTGAATATTCCTGTGACTTAAAATAAGTAGCTTAAAAATGTTGGGGGTTGGGGGGGAAGAGTGGTGCTAGCCAGGAAGAAGCCAGTAAAGATGTAAATACAGTGCAACCCAGTCGGGCTTTTTTTTTTTCTCCAGGTATCACAAAGAAACCCAGAATGCATTGTTACGTAGTAGCCATCCATCTTGGAGTCTGATCCTTTGTATTGTGAATGCACACAGCTTTACCTACTGTACTGGTAGTCTGCACTTGTATCTTTTAAGTTACAAACTGTTTTATATATTCGAATCGTTAGTCACTTCTCCAGTCTTTTGGAAAAAATTTCAGTCCGCACAAGATGATATAATTGGAGTATTTTTAACACTAGACCCCAGGAGCTTGGCTGAACTGGAAAGAGAACATACAAAGCCCTGAGAAGTGTGTTCAATTGTGGGATTATAACTTCTTTACACTTTGGAAAGATTAGCCTAGACTAACTTCATTCTTGGCATTTTTATTCTTGTTATTTGAGGTATGTTGGGGAGATGTGAATTTCAGTGTTAGATTCATAGTCATAAGAATTGCAAACAGCAGTTTGTTGATTCTGCACTTTTAATGTGGCCATCTAAACTCTGCAGTGGTCTCCCTCTTAAGGATAACCACGAGCTCTGTCCTTTGTTAGGGCCTAATCACCCACCTCTCCAGGGCCCATCCCCCCTCGGGAAATGGAAGGAATGTCTAAGGAGGAGGAGGGTTCTGTGTGGCTTGGAATGTTTTTGTGAAAGCATTTGTTGACCATGATAATGCAAATAACAGAAGGAGAGAGAGAATGAACCCTTTCTGGGTGTTTCAGGGCAAGCTTTATGTTCCTTTGTAGGAAGGGGAGTAATAATGTAAAACAACTGACCCAGAGAAGCTAAAAGCCACTGGCGGCACAGGCTGATAAAACGGAAGCAAAATGAGGTGGCAACAATTTTGAAGGACCAAAAGTTGTAACTTTCCAGTTTGATAGTTTATAAAGAAGTTAAGTAAATGTAGTATTGGCTAGTTACTCTTAAGTCCTCATCTTCTGGTAGGTCCTGTAACACTAATTAGGCATTTGTACATTTTTAGCAGCAAAATTGCCTCAGCACAGCTCCTAGTTTTATTCCCAGTTGTGGCTGAAAAGCAAAGCCATGGCGTCAGTATCTTTGTGCAATCTGAGGGTGCTGCGCTTTGACCAACTGTATTTTTACCTTATTTCCTGGAGGAAGAAACTAGTGAAACAAGTGCCTAACTCCCTTTATCAAACACTGTATTCAGCCAAGGACAGCCTCTTTTAACATTGACTTCATGCTTGAGGAAAAGGAGAGTTGACAGCTGTATTTAAAAACCCATGGAAATGGTTTAAGAAGATGGTTCTGGGTAGACCAGAAATTTGTTTGCCTGAGGCTAAAGTGTGTCTACAATGGTACAGCTCTTCCAGGGACCTGGGAAGTCTATCGTGGGAGATATCCAGAACCTGTTTTACACTGGGCTCCTACTGTGTTTAGTGATCAGAAACTATAGAGGGGTCCAACCCAGGATTTCATGCTTGTATCTTCATAAGGCCATGCTCCTGACAGGTCTGGGCAACCAGGGGGATGACTTAGGTTAGTGTGCTAGGATTGACGCACCTCGTCCAGCCTTCTTACTTTGTAGGAGGGAATACTTAAGGAATAGAGAGATTAAATCTTACACTTACCCCACAGCTGGTCACTAACAACACAAGCTCTAGAATTCATGTTTGTTTGTTTGTGTGTTTGTTTGTTTGTTTGTTTGATTTCACCAGGCGGCATGAGACTGACCTTCTGGCATTCTTACCAGTAGTCTTTCTATTAAACTATTGGATCTTTATTCATCCACCTATACAAGGAGGAAATAAGGATGAATATTCATTTAGTAGAATTAATATTCATATTAACACATTGCTCTCAGATTGTTGGGAATTAACATCTTGTAAAAACTGGGAGCAGGCCAGGTGCAGTGGCTAACGCCTGTAATCCCAACACTTTGGGAGGCTGAGGCAGGTGGATCATCTGAGGTCAGTCAGGAGTTCGAGACCAGACTGGCCAACATGGTGAAACCGTGTCTCTACTAAAAAAAAAAAAAAAAAAAAAAAGACAAAAATTATCCGGGGGGTGGTGGCAGGGCCTGTAATTCCAGCAACTCAGGAGGCTGAAGCAGGAGAATTGCTTAAATGCAGGAGGTGTAGAGATTGCAGTGAGCCGAGATTGTGCCACTGCACTCCAGCCCGGGTGACAAGAGTGAGACTCTGTCTCAAAAAAAAAAAACTGAGAGCAAAGTTGGATTTGGGGCCCATGAATAAAACCATTACTTTAAAAAGTAATACCCCCAAAAAAGTTACACCTAAAATTTCATCTTCATGCCTTTGTGTAATATGACTGTAATAGTGAAATGATTTTAATAAAATACATCAGAACTGACACATCCTCTTGGATGATGGGTCCTTTAGTCACCTTGTGAGCCCATGTACTTATTCCGTTGATACAGCCCATGCTATAAACGTGTGGGGCCCTCCTTGTGTGAGCTGCTTGAATGGCCGGTACCCCCATTCTTTTGAATATTCCCAATGGTGGTCAATCCTGGCCTTTAAGAATAAATTTAAATATTTGGAAATAGTCCTTAGGATCCAAGTTTGATCAATAAAAAGGATGCTTAGGCTGAGTTTGGGGTCACATAAGAAGTGCAGCTATAAAGAAATAAGACATGTTGGGCATGGCAGTACACACCTGTAGTCCCAGCTGCTTGGGAAGCCAAGGCAGGAGGATCACTTAAACCTAGGAGTTTGAGTCCAGCCTGGGCAACATATGGAAATCCCATCTCAAAATAACAGAACAAAGGACTTAGTTTTTATGTGGCTTATAACTGTCTCTAAGTTATACCAAAAGTTTGAGTACAACTGTAGTAGAAGAATGCTTAGAATAAATGCTTGACTTTTAAGCTGACTTTTGGAAGGACCATACCCACATAGAGGCATGTTTTCTGCTGTGGTAATTTTTCAAATTAATATATTGCTTTAGGATCATGTCTCAAAAGTTAAAAAAATCAACATTTAGTTTGTTTTGTTTTTTCCTGCAAATAAATTAAATGCCTGGGACCATAATTATTATTTTTGCATAGTAATAGCTGGTGAAGAAGTTGTTTTAAAATTAAATTGCCAAAAGTATTACCTCTTGAAATATTTATTTTCCCAATGTTTTTCATATGTCCTGAAACCCCTAATCTCGACCTTTATGATACAGTGGCATTACACTGATGTTGGAAGTATGTGTGAGATCTGTGCCCTGGTCGGGAGTCATATGCCTTAAAAATGACTGCGTGTCAGTGTGAAGTAGTATAAAGTGGAGTCCTAAGTGGGAAAAAGCAGGCTACTGAGGACAAAAGCCTCCCAACCCTCCCTGCCCTGTTTTCCACTGGGAATGAGAATTTGATATGAGAAACTTAAACCTTGCAGAAGTGTGGATTTCCCTCTGAAATTTAAATGTTTCACACATTTTTGTACCTTTTGTAACCCTGTGGTATTTACTTTCACATGGCTTTTTAAAAAATTATTTTAATGAACTTCTATCACACTGTATGAATGATATGGGGGAAATACTGAATTGCTCATATTTCCTTTTTTGGCAATAAAGCACTGTTATATGTTCATGTAAGTGAAAAAGAGAGGTTCAAGACTATACGACAGCTATACGTTGACATCCCTAAGGTATTTTGAAACATGAGGTGACAGACAAGGACCTCAAATTTCCAGGGGAATATTTATTTCACAACATTAGGAGTGTGGATCTTCATAATGAAATACCTTCTTTCTGCTAAAAATTATGATTTTTTCATTTAGGGAACTGTGAATATTTTCTGTGAGGTTTACAGAAACTAGTCTATCCTTTTCACTATGTTGAAAAGACAATCTGAACTTTAGCTATTTATATTTCAGTATTAACACACCTTCACTGATTGAGAGTCTTGAGCCCTTCTCTACTTTTATAGTGAATCCTATTTCCAAGTCATCCATGTCTTTTGAAGTCTGTTTCTTATATAAGTATTTATTACTTTAATGTTTAGCATAAATAGGAGACAGAAAAGGATAATAAACTACTAGGTCCTTTATTCCTATTAAAATAAACTTACAAATCCCTTGAATCAGCTGAATTCTAAGCTTTTTGAAGCGGTTGCTGATGTAGTGTGATCAAAAGAATCTAAGAAGAACCTCATCTCCAAAATCTGATTAGAGTTGTTCACCCTCTCAAGGACAAGATAAAGATTGGCTTCAGAGATATATCACATCAAGATAAAGGGAAGAAAAAAACCTCAAATAAAATTTTTCCTCATTCAAAGGGATCCAGGGTATCCTTGGATTATGTAGGAGGGAATCATGCGTGTTCTAATTTACCTGAATGTACTTGTGTGTGAATCCAACCTTGATTCTAAACACCAAGTCTTGTCAACAATAGAGAAGTATAGTAAGGAGTTCCTGTTGTCAATCAAATGAGGGTGTGAAACATTTAGAATGCTCTGTGTTACACTTGAACCATATATAAATGTACCCTGTGTATCTTTCTTTTTAAATTAGCATTTCTCAATTTAAATTATATTGTTTTTCTTTGTATTGTTAACAAAATGCATCAGAACTGGATTTTTTTCTCATCTGAACATAATATAAAATTTAAGAGAGTATTGTGATATTAAGCACTTTAACATACATATCAGACAAACTGACGTGGGTTTTTCAGGTTTGGGAGTACATTTAAATATGACTTTTCATGCTTTGTCCTTTACAAATAAAACTGTGGGATTGATACTTTGTTTTGCTTCATTGTTGTAGAATCTTGATAGTGTTTCATAGGATAAGAGATTCCAGAAAGCAGGGAGATCAAACCAAAACTATTATGTAGAAAAATAGAGCCTTCTGAGTAAGGGGTGAAAATTTGAACCCTACCTCACACCATACAGAAAAATCAATTATTGGTGGCTTAACAACCTAAATGTGAAAGATGGAACGTAATTTTTAGGAGAAAATATGAAATGTACTTATTAACTTGGGAAAGGGAAGTTTTCTTAAGTAAGACATTTAAATTATAAAGGATAAGTGTGATAAATTTGACTATGCTCACAGGTGCTTTGCTGTAAAAAACAACTGACTATAAAAATTAAGAATTTCTGATCATCAAAATATATCATTAAAAGGAGAAGGCCTGTAATCCCAGCATTTTGGGAGGCCAAGGTGGGTGGATCACCTGAGGTCAGGAGTTCAAGACTAGCCTGGCCAACATGGTGAAACCCTGTCTATACTAAAAATACAAAAATTAGCCAGGCATGGTGGCAGTCGCCTGTAATCGCAGCTACTTGGGAGGCTGAGGCAGGAGAATCACTTGAACCTGCGAGGCAGAGTTTGCAGTGAGCTGAGATCACGCCATGGCACTCCGGTCTGGGGGAAAAGGAGTGAGACTTAATCTCAAAACAAACAAACAAAAACCCATGAAATTTTTTTTTTTTTTTTTTGAGATGGAGTCTCGCTCTTTCACCAGGCTGGAGTGCAGTGGCACAATCTTGGCTCACTGCAACTCAAAAGAAAAAAAAACAAGTTTGTAGGAGGAGCATCAAGAGCTACTTTTGGGGATAAGAAGTTTGCGATGCTTTTGAGATACCTATTAGACATCCAGATAGAGATGCTAGGTAAGCATCTGCACATATGGATTGGGAGTTGAGGAGAGAATAATAATGTATTCATCACAGTCCAATCAGGAGACAGAAACCACACAGCAATTTGAACTGGGGTAGTTGAATGTAAAGAATAATGTAGTCCAGGCACGGTGGGTCACGCCTGTAATCCCAGCACTTTGGGATGCCAAAGCGGGGGGGGGGGTGGATCACCAGGTCAGGAGTTCGAGACCAGCCTGACCAACATAGTGAAATCCTGTCTGTACTAAAAGTACAAGAAGCCGGGCGTGGTGACACATGCCTGTAACCACAGCTACTCTGGAGGCTGAGGGCAGAGAATCGCTTGAACCCGGGAGGCAGAGGTTCAGTGAGCCGAGATCATGCCACTGCACTCCAGTTTGGGCAACAGAGACTGTCTCAAAAAAATAAAAATAAAAGAATAATGTGTTAGGGTTCTCCAGAGAAACAGAACTAATAGGACATGTATAGATAGAGAAACATTTTAAGGATTTGGCTCACACAGTTGTGGAGGCCTGGGGAGTCTAAATCTTCATTGTGGGCCATCAGGGAAGAGACAGTTCAAGCCAAAAGGCAGTCTGCTGGCAGAATTTCTTCTTGCTCAGGAGGAAGTCAGTCTTTTTTATATTAAGGCCTTAAACTGATTGCATAAGGCCCACCCATATTACAGATAGTAATTTGCTTTACTCGAAGTCCACCAATTAAAATGTTAATCTCACCAAGCGCTGTAATCCCAGCACTTTGGGAGGCTGAGGTGGGCAGATCACAAGGTCAGGCGTTCAAGACCAGCCTGGCCAACATGGTGAAACCTCACCTCTACTAAAAATACAAAAATCAGATGGGCATGGTGGCATAGGCCTGTAATCCCAGCTACTCAGGAGGCTGAGGCAGGAGAATTGCTTGAAGCCAGGAGGCGAAAGTTGCAGTGAGCTGAGACTACGCCATAGCACTCCAGCCTGGGTGGCAGAGCAAGACTCCATCTCAAAAAAAAATATGTATAATCTCATCCAAAAACACCTTCATAGTAGTATCCAGAATAATGTTTGACCAAGTTTCTGGGCACCCTGGTCCAGCTAAGTTGACCTAAGATTACCTATCACAAACAATAACAAGAAATTGGAATAATGGAGGATCTGATGCCAGGTGATGAAAACAAAACTCTTAAAGAATATAAGAAAAGCATTTATGGGGAGCAGCTATTAACTATAGGGCTGAGTCAGCTGAGCACGGTGGCTCACACCTGTAATCCCAGCACTTTGGGAGGCCGAGGCAGGCGGATCACAAGGTCAGGAGATCGAGACCATCATGGCTAACACGGTGAAACCCCATCTCTACTAAAAATACAAAAAATTAGCCGGGCATGATGGCGCGAGCGTGTAGTCCCAGCTACTCTGGAGGCTGAGGCAGGGGAATCGCTTGAACCTGGGAGGCAGAGGTTGCAGTGAGCCAAGATCACGCCACTGCACTCCAGCCTGGGTGACAGAGTGAGACTTCATCCCCCCACCAAAAAAAAAACCATAGGGCTGAATCAAGGCAAATCTAAATGAGCCCCCCTGCCTGAGGTTGAACCAGACCCTGAGAGAGGGTACAACTCTCTCTCTGGGTGGCAAAGAAGTTTACTGAGGCTGAGCACAGCGGCTCACATCTGTCATCTCAGCACTGTGGGAGGCTGAGGCAGTCGGATTCCTTGAGCCTAGGAGTTCGAGACCAGCCTGGGCAATGTGGCAAAACCCCGTCTCTACTAAAATACAAAAAATTAGCCTGGCGTGGTGGCACGTGCCTGTGTTCCCAGCTACCTGCAGGGCTGAGGTGAGAGGATCACTTGAGCCCCAGAGGTAAAGTTTGCAGTGAGCCGAGATCATGCCACTGCATTCCAGTCTGGGCAACACAGTGAGACCCATTCTTTAAAAAAAAAAAAAAAGTTTACTGAGACATTTAAAAGAAGTGGACTTGTTTGGAATCTGCCCCCAGGTGCCAAGGACGCATCCATGAGGAGGTGACATACTCCAGAACTTGCCGGGACACTACAGAGGAAATTCAATGTCTTGGGCTGGATTTGGGGAGCTATAGTTGGACGTCTAGATATAAATTTGGAAGTTTCCAGCATGTATAAATGGAACTTAATGTCATGAAACCAATATTAAATCATGTGTTCATGAGAACACAAAGGGAGTGAGTTATGAAATCTAAAACATTGATTTTAATTTTGTGATATGGATGTGGCATGATTTATTTGTTTGACATTTAGATTACTTTCATTTTTTTCACTATTCTGAACAATGTTACGATGAAAAACATTACAGGCACGGTGACTCAAGCCTGTAATCCCAGCACTTTGGGAAGATGAGGCAGGAGGATCACTGGAGCCCAGGAATTCAAGTCCAGCCTGGGGAACATAGTAAGACCCTGTCTCTCTACTAAATAAATAAATTAAATAAATAAATAGAAAGAAAACAACATCTAAATAGCTCCCAATGTTTCTCTATTCCAAAAAAACTATAATGAACAAATATCCTTATTTTGTAAGAAATTACCTCTTTTAAAGGTCAAAGGCATTGTTAACAACTTCATAGGATTCAGCCTAATATTTTTGATAATTCTTTTGATTCTTTATCCTGACACGTACCTCGATTCAAATATATACAATTTTAGAACATGTGGAAAAAAGGAAAAAAAAAAAAAAAGAGCAATTAATGTGGGTTGCAAAGCCTAAAAATAAGTCACTCTAATGAGAGCTGGCTTGTGGGCCAGATACTCTGTGTTCCCTAGAATAATATAATCCTGAGGTCTGTCATTTGCTTAACCCATAAACTGTTTTGTTGTTGTTGTTGTTGTTTTTTTTTTGAGATGGAGTTTTGCCCTGTCACCTGGGCTGGAGTGCAGTGACATGATCTCGGCTCACTGCAACCTCTGCCTCCCGGGTTCAAGCAATTCTCCTGCCTCAGCCTCCCAAGTAGCTGGGATTACAGGCATGTGCCACCACACCTGGCTAGTTTTTTTTGTATTTTTAGTAGAGACACGGTTTCACCATGTTGGCCAGGCTGGTTTCAGACGCCTGACCTCAAGTGATCCACCTGTCTCAGCCTCCCAAAGTGCTAGGATTACAGGTGTGAGCCACCGCGCCTGGCCAACCTGTGTTCTTAAATGCCTCAAAATTTTCTTGAATTTCTCACTTATATCCTATTCAAAAATAACAAAAAAAGGCTGGGTGCGGTGGTTCACGCCTGTAATCCCAGCACTTTGGGAGGCCGAGGCAGGTGGATCACGAAGTCAGGAGATTGAGACCATCCTGGCTAACACGGTGAAACCCAGTCTCTACTAAAAATACAAAAAAATTAGCCGGGCATAGCGGCGTGTGCGTGTAGTCCCAGCTGCTGGGGAGGCTGAGGCAGGAGAATGGCGTGAACGCGAGAGGCGGAGCTTGCAGTGAGCGGAGATCACGCCACTGCACTTCAGCCTGGGTGACAGAGTAAGACTCTGTCTCAAAAATAAAAAATAAAAAAAAAGCTTCAAAACATGAAGAAGGAGGAAAAAAAACTTGATGGAATCAATGAGAAATAGACAAATCTTCAATTATAGTCAGATCCTATTGTCAATAATTGATAGAATAGAAAATCAGGGCCGGGCACAGTGGCTCACACCTGTAAGCCCAGCACTTTGGGAGGCTGAGGCAGGTGGATCACGAGGTCAGGAGTTCAAGACCAGCCTGGCCAGCATGGTGAAACCCTGTCTCTACTAAAAATACGAAAATTAGCCAGGCATGGTGGCGTGCGCTTGTAGTCTCAGCTACTCAGGAGACTGAGGCAGGAGAACTGCTTGAACCCGGGAGGTGGAGGTTTCAGTGAGCCAAGATCGTGCCACTGCACTCCAGCCTGGGTGACAGAGTGAGACTCTGTCTCAAAAAAATATATATTGTCCAACAAAACAACAGCAGAATACGCATTCTTTCCAAGTACACAAAAATCATTTATCAAGATTGGTCAGGCCGGGCGCAGTGGCTCATGCCTGTAATCCCAGCACTTTGGGAGCCTGAAGCAGGCAGATCACTTGAGGTCAGTACTTTGGAGAGCAGCCTAGTCAATGTGATAAAATCCTATCTCTACCAAAAAATACAAAAATTAC